CGTTCCAATCCTGTCCTGGCTTTTTCTGGGTGCCCTTCTGATGATCTCCTCTTGCATTAATGGCAGGTTTTTTGAGGTACCCTGTTTTACTCTCTCAGTAAAAAAAAAAAAGATGTCAGGTTTTAGAAGAGTGTGCCAAAATGAGTGTGTGTCATTCTCATATGCCCTGCTAGCCTGGCCAGCCAGACTGACCAACAAACGGCGTAGGAGTATTGGTGACAGACTGAACCAATCAAAGCACTGGAGGAGAGCCCAATGCAGCAAAGATGTTACTTTTGCAAATATAACAGTAAAGATTGATGCTTAAATGGAGGGACATTCTAATGCCTTTTATAATGTCCTGAAAGAGCGTTTTATTATGTTAACATTTCAACACTGGCTGCTGTAAGAGAATCACATAATGAATGTCTGATTGGTTCTAGACTTATTCTAATGACTTTGTTAGTCCTGCCTTTAAAATCTGACTCTTAACTCCTTTCCTTTACCATATGTGTCTTGAGGAGTTAATTCTCCACATATATGCTTCTCTGATTTCTACAGATAAAATCTCTCTGCCAGTCACCCTAAGTAGTATTAAGCATCCAGAGAACATTTTGGTGTAGAAACATCCAGCTTTATTGTTATACATATCAGTTTGAACCAATTTTGGGGCTCTGAGAGGGGTTCATATTAGCTGTAAGTGGTAACAGTTTCAGCTCTTTAAGCTGGAACTGAAGTGCCGTAGAGATTTGAACCTTAGCTGCTCCTGAATGACTTTGGCATATTAAACAAGATAATCACTCAATCTCTTTGAACAAAGGAAAGGAATCTGCTCATGAAACCAAAGAAATCCCCTAAGGACCTAAAGTACCTTTAGTCTTAGAATCACACTCAACTCACAGCCATGCGCCCAAGTCAAAGGCATCATGTTTCTGCTCGTCTCACTATAAAATGATACAATCTTTTATTAATGGTCTGGGCTGCTGTGTCGACATGGAGACCATTTTAATGATTAATCTCAGAGGAAAGTGCCCATTGTAAGCTTTGAAATCTTTGCTTTTTTCACACAGATGTCAAAATGATCTTCATTTGAAAAATCTTATTCATTCATTAGTAAGAACATTAAAATACCAAGGGACTATATGATATATCTATATATGAAATAATAATTTAATCCTTTAAGAATGTATGAGATCACAGTTACATGTGAAAAGGCTGTGAGATATAGTCAACATAAGCAAACATCTTAATATGGTCAAAAACTGAGATATTCAAAAGAACAAAATGGGACAAAAACAAAATTTGTGTCATAATGTCGTAATAAAGCTTTAAAAATTTTTATGAGGTACATCTAAGTTTGAGGTAATCAATAAAAATCAATATTTCCTACAACCAAAGTAAAGTGCTTAGATTATGAAACAGGAGAACAACTTTTTCTCAAAGTTGCATCTACACATGATTAATTATATTAAATATTATAAATTATATTAATAACTTCTATTGATATGTTGCAAAGCAAAGTATCACTACAGCAAATGTCATCCTATGCAAAGACAATCAGGAAATTTGGCTTTGTTGAAGATATATGAGGCTGTGTATCGAGACAGATCCTCCTTCCTAAACATAAAAAGCTTAATGCTTTTAGATAAGGTAAAGAAGGAAAATATTATGTAATGTTTTCCCGTTAGCTGTGGCTACCTATTGTTTTCATAATCCTTCTTGTTTCAGAGACATCTGGTCGAGATTAAAAAAACTTTTTGAACATTTTGTCTTAAACTTGTGTAAATTAAAAGTTCTTTGAGATTAAAATCACTTATTAATTAATAAAAAAAAGAGAACAAGAAGACTTGGTGTTAAACCTAAGTTCCTAAAAATCAACATACTATTTTTATAGAACCACTGAGTCTCCTGGCGCTGAGAGAACAACAATTCAGACGGGAAACGGTTGATTAAAACGAATTACAAATATCAGGGCATCTTTTCTCTTTTGCAATCACTTTAACACGGTAATTAGAGAAAATAGTGGTGAGTAATGCAGCTGGGCTGCCGAGGACGCAACGGGGAACCACCAGAGAGGAGGGGTAAAAGCAGGGAGGTTGATTGGAGTGATGCTGAATACTAACAAAGCTTGGGCTTTCTTTCTAACAAAGAAACAGATGCCCTTTCCATGATCAGTATGTCCTCTGTCACAGAATGCTTTCAATTTATGTAGATTTATTGCTTTTGAGTAACCACAACTCATGGGTTGAGTAACTTACACCATCTAAATAACCTAAATAAAAAAAGACATTTACAAAGTATAAGGTTAAAGTCCCTAGAGGTGGTTTTGTAAGATTTTGTAAAATCACCAGGGCATGTTTTTTTTTTTATTCTATTGTATCCTGCACTATAATTACCACACGCTTTCAGCAGATGGTATAATTTTAAATGCAGCCAGTGCAATGCAAAAACATTTATTCTTTAAACTTGCAAAGCTATTTCCTCTCCCTTTCCTATACAAAAACAAATCTGTGATCTTCATCTAAATGCATGCATAATTAATCATGAAAAAATAGTTAACTGCCTCAAGGTATAAAGATGTTCTTTGCTCAGTAAAGCTATATAAAGAGAAGGTCTGACTTTGGGGTTTGTTCTTGAATTAGAAGGACATGCAAAGTCAGGTTTGCACACATTAGCCCCAGGAATTTGCCCTTTTGTCTTTGTGTAAAGATACGAAAGAGAGAAAGCGTGAAAGAAAGACATAGATTCAAATAATTAATGAGACAAAGAAATGGTCAGGTACAAGATGGAAACTGAGTGAAAAGGCATCCATTGTAAAAAGAAAAACCTTCAGAAACTCTATATTAAATAATCATAAACATAAGGTAGTCTGTCTCCTCAAAAACAAAACTTCTCATAGCAGATTTCAGTAGGTTTCTTAGAAATGTCGTCTCTCAAAACTAGAACTGATCTGTCCTCTTAGTTGGAGGTAATAATGATAATAATAATAATTTTAAAAATAATAGCTTTAATATCACTATTTATTGAGCACTTTACACAGGTAGCCTCGTTCTAAGTAATGTGAACAAAATTTAAGATGAAATAAGTAAAATAACTACACTTCAAGATAAAAAAATGAAATATAAAACCAAAAAAAAGTTGCAAATGTATAAACATATGCATATGTTTTTTATATAAACATGCCACGATTATAATTCAGTTATCTAATTTGCTTCAGATTGTCTACCGTCCCACTGTATTATTTTCTGTCCACCATAGCTGTTTTTTCTTTCTTCATTTAATTTTACTGTTATTTCTGACGGTCCAAATATGCTTACATGCACACAGAATCTCTTTCCATCGTCAGGCTTTGTACCAATGCCTCCTTTGAGGTAACAATGAGATTTTATTCTGACTTTTAGAGCTACTTAAAAATACACAAAACTGTAGCTGAGGCTCCTGCTTGGAAAATCGCTTTTCACAGGATAAATGTTTACATTTGCGTATCCTCCACCCATGAATTTGTGCGGCCTGGTCATTGGATCATGATCTGCATATGGATGAAGGTACACAAGCAAAAAATGGTTTGCATTGCACACGCGGTCTGCTGAATTGCAAACATAAACTTTTCTTACATGCAAACCTTCTGAAGATCTGACTTTTTGTGTATATTTCTGATTTTCCTATGTTATGCAATCAAAAGTAATAAATGTATTACCTAATCTCTGCTTCTTAGAAGGCTTGAACTTTAGGTATTTAAGGTCTGGTCAGCGAGAGGCATGTCAGCTTAGTTAGAGTTATTACATTTGAGTAATAGTCTTGAAGTGACAACAGCAAGCGCCAATGAAGCCCCCTCGGTCGCTCTTCAGAAAGGTCAGCTACCCCCGGCCACTGCTCTGCACTCATCGTTTGGTCACATATAGTCAGGCTAGTTAAACAGCATGCCCAGTATTGACAGCCCTTTGTCCTAATAAAGTGCCTGTTATCTGCAGCATGAGATACAGCAGGGAGGAAAGTGCAGCCAGGGGCATTTCACCATCCATCAGTTTAAACTAACACTGAGTGAGAAGCAGAGGAGCAGGACAGAGAGACAGGTGGAGTGATGGCTTTCTAAGTTATATAAACTTTGATTCAATTACTAAATAACATCTCAGACAAGAAAGTATAATTCTGAAAAAAATAATGCTATCAAAAACAAAACAAACAAAACCATTTTAGTGAGAATGCATCCAAAAAAATAAATGCATGTTTAACTTAAACACTGTTTACAAAGATAAGCATTTGAATTGAACGATCAGTTGTAAATAAGTTTATGTTTGTTGATAATATATGAAAAAACCCATATCAAAGTTGTCATGTTTTTTTTTTTTTTTAACACATTTTGGTGAAATCTGTAAAATGGTAAAAGAAAAGGGTAAATCTAGAACAATTGATTTGGTTTCCTGAAAAAAAGGAGTCTAATGCATGATGAACTTATAAAATTTGTTTGGTAAAAAATTTATATAATGAAAAAAAAAAGATGTTTTTAAAAATCAGCCTTAATTTTAGAATTTATTTTATTAATTTCATATTTTCAACCAAATGTTTTCCATCAGTGCAGTGATGTGTTCTGTTTTATTACTAAATAACTATTGTGTTCAGTGCATAAAACTGGTTTGTCTTACAGTGTTTTTCAAATACATTTAGACTACATTGCCATAGACAGATAGAAAGGCTTAAAGGATGTACTTGATTGGATGCAGTTGAAGATCCTCGAGTATTCCCTTAGACACGGCTCCTCTTTGAAGATTCAGAATTTGTCATATTAGCAATACCCCCTAGTGCGGCAGATTTACTCCATCTTCTTTCTTGTCTCTTCTCTTTCAGCTTTGAGTAAGGATTTATTTCAGACACATATGATTCGAGCTGTGGATTATTTCCACAGAAATGTGACAAAAAGGTGTTGTTTTAGGAATTTAAGCTTATTGTTGTTGAATCTTTCAGAGATTTCATGTTGACATTACAGTCAAACCTTTGTTTTCTTTTCCTGTTCTCTGTTACAGCGGGATGCAAAAGGACAGTATCTGTTTGACCTTATATGCCACCACTTGAATCTACTGGAGAAAGATTACTTTGGCATCAGATATGTGGATCCTGACAAGCAACGGGTGAGTAATTGGGTGGGTGTGTACATGGGAGAGGCTTTAGGATATAGTTCCTGGTAAGATACTTTTAAAATCTCCAGTAAATATATTGCTGGAGAAATATTGTTCAATAATATATAATTCAAGGTGAATAACCTAAACATCACTAGCCAGTACCCATTTTCTTTTTTATGTTTTTAAGCATTACATAGTTTTGGAATCCATTTAGTCATTCGTTCCTAAGCTGTGGTCTTAAAGGCACTTGGGATTTATTGTGCAAAAATCATGTGATTTTTGCAACGGAATACTTAAAAGTTAAACAGGACTCAATGAAATATGTGATAATAAAGAGCTAAAAAGGAGTCTTAGCTCTTTGACCTTAGCTTTGTCAAAAATCTTTCAAGCAGAACTGGTGGAAATTTTGAAAACTAAAGTTGCTTCTGGGACTGACATCAAGTGACATATCTTAACAATGTTGTTTCATATTTGAATACCAGCATACTTCCTAACAGCTTTAGTCAGTGACTTGTTATTAGAAACACAAGCCAACTTTATCTACAACCTTAGCTACATGTTCTCTAAAGGAGGTTCTAAATATGAGATGCAAACTGTTAAAGAGCAAATAAACTGTTTTTAATGAAGCTATTATCTACTAAGCATTGATACAAAGCAGCCTTATGGGAGGCGTAATTACACTTCCCTAGGAACTCTGTCTGAAGAGTGACTTTCTTAATCATTTTTTCCAACCCCAAACTTTAAACCCTTATAAAAATGTATGTTTCTCTTAGATATAAGGAAATTTATACGACAGTATACATCTGCTATAGCATCTGTAGATTGAACAATTTTGTTACCACACTTCACTGTCAGTTGTGCTATTTCATGCGTGCTATGAATGGGTTTGTCAAAAAAAAAAAAAGCAGTCAGTAGTAACAGCTGAATGTTCAGGCACTTGAGATTGAAAGTGTTAGCACAATGTGAGAATTTGCCACTGCTCAGGTTTGGGAAATGTAATTATTTCCATGTGTTTCTCATTTCTTATTTTTATTGCAGCACTGGTTGGAGTTTACCAAGTCAATTTCAAAGCAGATGAAATGTAAGTACCATCACTTTAGGTTTCCTGCCTTTTAATTAACAACAGAAATACTTTCTAAATGTAAGAAATAAATGCTTTGTGGTTCAGTCTGTGTTAGTTTAAACAGGTATATTTAAGCTCCACCTACAGACGAAGTAGATACGATTCTTAAAGGAATAGTACACCCAAAACATGATTAGCCTTCATTTTCTACTCACCCCCATGCTGAACAAAACTCTGGAGTACTTTTTTGATATCTCAAATGCATCTGGAGATCTGGGAGGCTTCTTGCTGTCTGCTGACATTCAAATAATGGAGGTCTATTGTGCCCGAGACAGAAAGGTCCACAAAAGTCCACAAAAACGTGTCAATATTCCTCCATACTGCTCGTCCAATGTAATCCAAGTGTCCTGAGTGGGTAGCATCCAGAATTTACTCGAAACGAAGTCATTTAGAACGTTTTAGAGCCTAAACAGTAGTGTATAGGATTTCCTAATAGCGCCCCCATGCGCGCTCACGATTCTACGGAAGCCGGCAGACCAAACCGGAAGGAAGTGCGCATTCAGCGTCTGCTCTGCCGATAATGCAAGCGTAGAAGAAGAAATGTGCTGTTTACCTGTGCAAAGAAAGAAACAACGAAAGAAAAATGTCTGAGGACTTCAGTGTTGAGGAAGAGCATGAGTTCTTTGCCGAGCTGAATGCGCTGGTTTGGTCTGCCGGCTTCCGTAGCGCCGTGAGCGCGCATGGGGGCGCTATTAGGAAATCCTATACACTACTGTTTATGCTCTAAAAACATTCTAAATGACTTCGTTTCGAGTAAATTATGGACGCTACCCACTCAGGACACTTGGAATACATTGGACGAGCAGTATGGAGGAATATTGACACGTTTTTATGGACTTTTATGGACCTTTCTGTCTCGGGCGCCATAGACCTCCATTATTTGAATGTCAGCAGACAGCAAGAAGCCTCCCAGATCTCCAGATGCATTTGAGATATCAAAAAAGTACTCCAGAGTGTTGTTCAGCATGGGGGTGAGTAGAAAATGAAGGCTAATCATGTTTTGGGTGTACTATTCCTTTAAAATCTTTTTTGACACTGAGGGCTCTAAGGTAGTCTATAAGTTAACTAGGTTTTCTGCATTTTTGATGGAGTTTTACCTGGACCTGCTTCATATGGACTAAAGCAAGACCAGAGATGGAAATGAGCAAAAATATGAACTGTCTCTGCAGGATCTTAAAGGGATCTTCTATAATGCATCAAGAATGCTTTGTAATTTCTATTACACATTATGATATTATCTCAGTTATTTTGAACATCCATCAATCTTGCAAGGTGAAATTTAGGATGATTACGTTGGTAGCAAATCTAGCTACATTTTGTAGTGTGCTAGAGCCTTGTAACAGCAGTGGCAGCGTATCCATGACACTTAGCTGATATACACCAAGCAGTATCCGAGTAAAAATCTGATGCACGATAGCAATATCAGTCATCATGCTGACCCAATGCAAAGGCTAGATCCTCATTACAACTTGTCACCCCATTAACCCCATCATTGACTAGCAGCAGCATCAAATTATGCCATATTGGTTATGATGGTGCAGCTCCTGGAATTAAGTCTCATATGAGCCTGATTTAGGCACTAGTTCTCACAACAGACGTACAGCTTAACCGGACTGACAGCGATCAGAGACAATTCTGTATTAAAATATCACAGAAACTGAAATCAGTACCAGGTAGACAGCGGCTCCTTAAAACAACAGACTAGCACAGCAAATTGTGAGGAGCAACGTTCAAGAGGAAATGCACCTGAAAACAGCTAAAGGCTAGGACAGGGGTCGGCAACCCAAAATGCTCAAAGAGCCAAAAAAAAAAATCTGTCTAGAGCCACAAAAATGTAAAAGTCTTATATATGACTCGTATGGCAACATGGGCTTTAAGTGTATTACCCACTATAGAAAAGGACTATGTGGGCTTAAATATATAATAAGCATTCATGATTAAATGTTTATCCTGGAGCAAATGTCACATAGTAGCATGAGGTGAGGGAGGAGCAGTGAACGCTCCCACCGCGCGCCGCTTCACCGCCCTTCACTGCGCGGTTTAGGTTTTTGTTGCATTGATGAAATTATAGAAACACAATAAATAAATCTTTCTATGGTGTTTCTATGTGTTTCTGTTGGGAGGAGTTGATTGAGTCATGAGGAACCAAGCAGGAACTGAAATCCATCAGAGCAGAGATCTCTTACCCTGAAATTCCACATCTTCCTTCATCATCGTTCCTTGGTGTGATTTATATTTTCAGGATTTGGGGAAAAAATTGAAGAAAGTTCCCATCCCTGCATCCGGGCGCTACCTGTTTGATCTGTGGACGGTTTTCCATCCTTGCAACCAAACTATATCTTCCTTTTTTCCCTTTGGGATCCATGGTCCAAGTTTTGACAAATTATTGTTTAAATTTATTTATGATACAAATGATTACAGCATTAGAAAACATATTTTTTCTTTGACCTCCTTCACACCATATTAAAACAAAAAAAAAACAAAAAAAAAAAACAGATTTTCATAAAGAGCCACACGTGGCTCCGGAGCCGCGGGTTGCCGACCCCCGGGCTAGGAGGACACTGATTCCAACTCTCTTTCTGGCAAATGTCCAGTCTGTGGATAACCAAGTGGATTTTTTACAGCCTGCTTCTAATTGTTTCTACAGAGTTGAAAATTTGTGCTGTTTTTTGCCTAACAGAAACCTGGCTTTATGAAAACATGCAAGATCTAAACTAACAGATCAATGAGCAGATCTTGACCACCAGTTCATAAAACCCAGGGAAGGGGACTCTGTATGTACATTAATGAATAATCTGCCAAGAGAATTTACTGCTGCGTTCATGATGCAGTATCGACTGTATGACACCATTAGATCACTGCAGATAAAGAACTATTTTACGTGGTTGCAGGAACTTTGTTTCCTAGAAAAGAAATGACACCCAGCTTTTACCATGGCGTCATCTTTTCCATGCAGTAGACGGCCCTCTGGTGTGTGTAATATTCATGACGCATAGAGAGCTATTCCGTGTTTGCTTGTTGCCATCTAAAATCACCTCTTCATCCTAGTGGCACAAACATATTGACTGTTGATGGGATGAATTGGGCCAAAAGAAAAAAAAGTGTCTGTGACCCAGGGAGGTACCCACTGTGCTACCGGACTGTTTTCAGTGCACATATTGGCAGGTCTTTAGAGAGGAGGTTAAAAATGGGGGACAGGTGGACTTGGACCTCTCCTTGGCTTCAACTCCAAGTGTGCTGATGATGTCACTACCATCAGGACAGTAACCTGGTATCAGAACCATAAACCCTGTCTGAATGCTGAGGTTATAGCTCTGCTGAAAGTTAAGGTTGCTGTGTTTAGGACAGGATAGGCATCAGCACGAGGTGAGAAAAAGACCAACCTCAGGTTTTGTGAGGGTCAAAGCTACATACAGTACACCCAGAAAAGTCAGGCCTGCTTCACTACTACTAATTATCTAGTTTTAGAGTTGCCCTTAAAGAGTACCAACAGATGTTAAATCATTTTTTTTTATTATTCCATTAATTTTGTTTCTATTTTCTTTACCTTGTTAGTAATATATGTGTATTGAACATTTGAACAAAAATCTTCTCTGTATGAGAGCTAAATCGTCCGACCCGCCATTTTCCCACATATGTTCCACCTCTAAATGTTTTCTGTTTGTCTCCTGTAGCTCAGCCTCCATTCACCATGTGTCTGAGAGTCAAGTTCTACCCGCCTGATCCCTCTGCTCTCAAGGAGGAAATTACCCGGTATGACACATGATTGCATTTGGCTAAAGGAGTTAATAAAACCGTCTTGCACTAATTTTCTTCTAAAGAGGTCGTTTGCATCTGCTTCAGTGAGATTTTCAAGAGATTTTCACCGAGAGGATATTTTCACATTTTATTGTAGAGGAGATGGTTGTAATGAAATCTCTGGACAAATCATATGTCATTCTTTTTAAAAAGAACATTATTTATAAGCATTTCATAATTAAAATAATTATGTACTTGTAAAAGACTATGATACATTTTACACATACACAGTTTTTACAGGCTGTAGGGTCGAAAGGAATGTAAAAGCCTTTCCTAGTAGCTCGCTGTGATAATGGATAGCACATTAAAATCTAAATCAGGCTAGATTTTTTTCTCTAGTTTGTAAAAGGCTTTTAGGTGTAGTTTTGTAACGGCATTTAATATTCAAATTATGATGCAAAAATAGGAAACATAAATAGAGAGCAGATTTGGTCCAGATGATGCTGAGCACATCCAGCTGGCGAATGTGTGTCTAGTGTCCACATGTTTTCATTACCAGACTGAAAAGAGAAGAGTCCACTCTGAGGCGTAATGAGATGCAGTGTGCACAACATAGAGCGTATATAATGAATAGAGTGGATAGAGGAGATAAAGGGGCAAGGAGGGCTGATTTAAAGTGTGAAGCGTAAAGAGGAGTGGGAGGGAAGGAGGACAGTATGATACATGATTATGGCAGTGGAGAGGTCAGTGCACAGAGGGTGGAAGAGGCAAAATAATCAGCAGTACACATGATTTGGTCATTCTGTCGCGTGTGCTGCGGATCTAAAATCATACACGCAAAAAAAAGCTGCTTTTACAGACATTAAGAAAATCCCTTTATTCCACTTAAAGAAATTGTAGATTATTTCAGATAGGACTGAATACATAAAGTCTTCCAAATGTATTTTTTTTCCAGGATTTTTTTTTCCTTTTTCTGTTTTATAATCACCACCAGTTTCAGCAGTATTTAATATAATAGAACACTGTGCATTATTTCTGAGGGAAGTCTTTAAACATGCTATAAAATGTAACCAGTATTTTAGCTATTGAAACAAATAAATAAAATGATACAGGATATCTCTGTACGATCTACAAACTGATTGGAAAATGCCTTTAAATGTTTCTTTTAGGATCAGATCCTTAATCAGACCTATGTCTGGGCTTTTACCAGGCCAGAATTTAATGTTATTGTAGCTCTGTTGTACGTTTGGGGTCATGACCCTGCTGGATTAACCCTCTGACCTGGTATTAAGTGTTTTGCAGATGTTGTGCCATTCAGCATCTCCCTACTCTAATCTAATGCCTGACTTGTTAGGTTGATGATAGACACAGTTCTCTTAATAGATTTTCCCACCTGAGCCGTGTGTTTCTGCAGGTCCTCCAGAATAACATCCCTCTTGAAAGCTTTTTTTTTTTTTAAACTCTTGCTTAACAATTTAGGTGGTCAGCCATGTCTTCATAGTTTGGCTGATTCCTCTTTTCTTTTATCTTTTTGGACAAATGGGTTGATAAAAACTCAATGAAATATCCTAAGATTGGGATCTAATCTTCTCTAAACCAATCTGAAACTTGCTCTCCAACTTCCTGTTGTGTTCCTTGGTCTTGATGATACAGTTTCTCCGCTAATGTTCTCTACCTCCAAGGCTTTCACAGAACATCTGGATTTATTCTAAGATTAAAACCCCTTACACACAGGTGGACTCTGGTAATTGGGTGACTCCTGAAGGCAGTTGGTAAAAATGAATTTTTACTTAGGTCTGTAAGAGTAAAAGTGACTAGACTTTGCATCAAAATGTAAAAAAAAGAAAGTTTCAATTGCAGCAAAAAGTTAACCTAGTAAACTAGCCCCACCCGCCAGCGGCCAAAATCATTTTTGGCTGCGAGTTTGGTCTAGCCTCGATCAATGCCCCAGGCTCTAGAATTGGCGGGCCAATCACAACGCAGACGTGTTTTGAATTTTTGGACGCAAAGCAGGTTGGGTTTTGAGGGTGGGACGACAAAGCTGTGTGATGCTGGAGAAGGCACAACAAGGAAGATGGCAACAACTATTGAACAGTTCTCGTTTGACTCAGCTTTGGAATCAGTTTTGGAAGGATTAGACTTGGGGTTATCGTTAAAACGTGAGCAGGAAGAGGCTCTATGCTTATTCAATTTCAAGAAGGACGTATTCGCTGTTTTAACGACAGGCTGTTTGCTTACACTCCCCCACCAGCTTTTTGTCGTGCTTCCTACGTCACAATCAGTTGCGCTCATTGGTCAATAGGCAAAGACATGGTTTGAAAAACAACGGGTTGTTTTTATCAACAATCTTCCGATGTCTCATTCATCAGGGCCAGACTAAATTACACATTTAAGTTCACATTTAGTCTGGTTTATCAGGCTAGCAAAAAGTGCAATTGTTAAAGGGATATGAAAACCGTTGCAAGGCAAGGTAGCAGCAGTAACACTTTCTCATGAATTTGTATTATTATGCAAAGGTTAACACATGTGTTTAACAAAAAGACACCGTTTTAAATTGATTCTTTTCAGCAGCTACTGAAATAGATATTATCAGCCTTTGTGGAGGTGCTGGAACAGCGAAGAAAGTAGGTCTGCCTGACTGTTTATTGCCTAAAAGCAGATGTTCAGTAATTCCACTGCAGTGTCCTTGCCTCTAAAAATACAAAGAACGATGATGGCAGGAAGTAATAGTCAGCACCACTCGTCATTATCATAATCTCTGGTACAAATGTTTTCTCATTAACGTTCATGCTTGAGGAGCCATGCGGTTGGATCAGTTAGAAACTAGGTCTGGAGGCTGCAGAAAAGACGAGAAAGAGCACTATGACTCCAGGCTGTTTCCAATCTTTCTCTTAAAAGAAAAACACATTAAAAAAATCAGTTTAACACCAAGGGAAACAATAAAATCATCCTTGAGAAGGGTGAATCAACTATAGGGATTTGAAATAAACTGAGTTTGTTGCATTTCTCCTCCACTTCTAATTTTTTTCCAATAAATCTGTGAAAAATGTGTTTTTGATATATGATTGTCTTCTTTAGATATCTGGTCTTCCTGCAACTGAAGAGAGACCTCTACCACGGCCGTCTTCTGTGCAAAACCTCAGATGCAGCCATGCTGGCTGCCTACATCCTTCAAGGTAAGAGAAGGAGACAGATGGAAATGAGTTGCTCCATTCTTTGCTGCTCTTTGCTTTATTATGTTCTGTAGATTGTTTTAATGATGAATGCCGTTTATCTAAGCCAAGGAAGCTAATTTCCTGGGGCATTTCTAGTAGCCTTAAAACATAATTAAAGGAAATACCCACTGATGTTTTCATGTAAGGCATGTAATCATCTTTTCACTCTCAATTTGTCTTTTATTCTTGATATGAATATGCAGGTTGGGATTTGTGTAAGGTGAAATTGTTTTCAGCTGGTTAAATTTTTCACACATCTGGGACCTCGTCAAACACACACAGCTGCAGAAGCAAATATCACATAGTTGACAGAAAGTCTGGCACAGCAAGCTTCACTTAAAAACACCAGATTGGAGAGGAGGGCAGGGAAACGTGCTGATAAATTAAAGATGGCTTGCCTAGTCAGCTCCTCCTGGCAGAGAGAAATCAGCTTCAGGCTCAGCTAAGGGAGTGTAATGTGGCATGAAGGACCGCCGATAATTCCGGCCATGTTTAGCCAGCCCTGCGCTGATGTGTGAATGAGTTAACCCTTTCTCTTTTACTTTGTCTTATGCCCCTTCTAGCTGAGATTGGTGATTACGACCCTGGGAAACATCCTGAAGGTTACAGCTCCAAATTCCAGTTCTTTCCCAAGCACTCGGAGAAGCTAGAGCGCAGAATCGCTGAGATACACAAAACTGAGCTAATGTAAGAGATAACAGACAAACTGATGTCTGTTTTACATTCCTGTAAATCTTTTTTTTTGTTAAGATTTCTAAATTTCACCTGACAAATATTCACTTGACTAGAGTTTAAACAGAACTTATGTATTAGTTATCTAGAAGATGGAAAACTGAATAAGATTTACCCATTAGATACAGTATAGCAGAGATACTAGAATAATCTTTTTTAGAATGGTTTTGTTCCAATAACGTATCAGTGGGAAAGCTGTAATATGACGTTGGGAGGGCATAAAAACTCACAAAGGCATAAAATGCATTGAGTTTTTTGTCAGACAGCTGAATTTTGAATAATTATTCAATCACATTAAGCGTGAATTAATTTTTTCAGAGTTCAAACAACAATGGGTTCATATTTTTCTAAGGATTTTTTAAATAATACATTTTAATGCAAGCTGCAGCGAGGATGAATGAGAAAATAACCCATGGTGGTGAGACACAACAGGAATATTACTACCTCAACCAAGTCAGATGTTATAAGTGATGAATGCTGCATAGCATTTTGCTGCCCACCTGTGGTCATTTCTTTCCTCTGCAGCTGTTTTTAGAGCTTATAATGAACTGACATCTGGACCATTGCTTTTCCTCAGAGGACAGACTCCTGAAACATCAGAGAGAAATTTCCTGCAGAAAGCCCAAATGCTGGAGACATATGGCATTGATCCACATCCGTGTAAGGTGAGGGGCATTTTTCCACTGCCGTTATTGCCATTTCATTTCAAACTCCTTTGTCAAAATGTTGCCACAGAAAGAGCAGAACTTGCTGAGACACACATCTTTGATAAAAGTCGGATAGATTAGTCCTTGTCTGTATTAGATGCTCTAAAATAAATTAATCTCATTTTACAGTTGTTGAATCACACTCTTAATTTTACTATTTATTAGGTGGGTAAAAAAAAAGTGCTAAATTTTTTTTCCACCATTATCATTTAATTAATGAATCTTTGAGGCATTTTTTAAACCATACTTTATTCGCCAAGATTTATTAAAGTGTGTAATTACTATTTTTAAATAATCAAATGTATTATCAACCATTAGCTATTTTTTACTCTTAACTGGTTGAAAGTTATCCTGGAGAAAAACCTTTAGTGTTGTACCTTCACAAATATTAAACATGGTATTTACAAAACTCAACAGTAATTTAACTAGAGCCACACACTTCAAACAGAATAGTGGAGGATCTATTATACTATGGGCCTCTTTTTATTCCAAAAATGCTGTTGGGGGTGTGTGACTTTATTAAATAAAAATTATACGAGTCTTTTGATTAAGCTATATCAGAAAACAACAAATGGATGAGATTTGTTTATTTAAAGTACATTTTACTTGAGTTCAGTAAACTGGTCTGTTTCTGCATGCTTTAATTTTTATTGAGGGGATCTAAATCTGATTGTGTGCATCTAAAATATGCATTTCAGGATGTGGCGGGGAGCCCTGCTTTTCTCGCTTTCACACCATTTGGCTTTGTGGTTCTGCAGGGAAACAGGAGAGTTCATTTTCTTAAATGGTGAGATAAAACATGTAAATACATACATATATTCAACATGATTTGATAGCGCTTACTCTTTCATTCACTAATAGTCTGACATGTGGAAGCTGGTATCTTATATACAACCTCCCATTAGAAAGACAAATATTCTACCCACTGGGCCACATGACCTTCATATGTGTTTTATTAATATTAGAACTAAGGACAGAACCCCATTTTACACCAAAAGTAAATTTAAGTAATTTGGATGACATTTTACTAATAGAAACATCTGTTGTTATTCTTTAAGAAAGTAATATTCCTCTAATTACTTCTGATTTTGTCATCTGCAATCTTTGCTTAATAGTGTGCTGTTTTGGCTGCAGAAAGCATAAGATATTAAAAGAGACAGGGAGGCAATTTGATCTGCGCTGATATATATTTTTTCCTTAACGATATGATCTGTACTATGACTGGTTGTACGTGGTCAATAGAGTCTGTCCACCTGCCTCTACATGTGTCATGAGGTTAATTACTGTGGCTAAATATGTTGTATATATTAGTAGAGGTGAAGAAGTGATTCATACTGACAGTTTGTACTTGAAAAAGATTTTCTTAGATATTTATAAACACTATTAACATATTGACTTGGTGCTTTTTTTAAATGCTCTTAATAATATAAGATCAGACATAGGCTAATCTGCAGTCTGGTGGATTCTAAGTCTTCTCTTTGTTGGGCTTCCGTTGCTCTTCAGATCAGTTCTCATGTATTCTCTATGCTCTGTTTATCCATCTCCAGGGACAATAATCACTAATTTGTTTTGTCAGCTAAACGTTGAGCGCCATGACTGTTTATGTGATCTCAAAGTAGTCGTCATGAATATTTAAAGAGGATGAAGCTTTCTGTCTCTGCTTGCTCGAATGTCTATCTATGATGGCTTGTTCTCTCGGACAGGAACGAAGTAACGAAGCTCAAGTTTGAAGCCAAGACTTTCCACATATATGCAAATCAAAAAGAGGTGAGAACGAGAATTTGGTGCATGCAGCTTACTCTGAAATGTGGCTCTTTTTTTTCTACAGCTTTTTTAATTTGACCTGCACATCTTCTTATTTCTGAGTGCAGGACAGAAAAATAATTTTAACATACTTTGCGCCCACGCCAGAGGCATGCAAGCACCTTTGGAAGTGTGGTGTGGAGAATCAAGCATTTTACAAGTGAGTCTGTCACTTCTGTATTTTATTACACTCTTTTTTCTTCCTAGTCTAGTTATTTCTATGTCTTCCTTCCTATGCACTGAGAGGCTAGGGTAACATCCCTATGGTGTCCTAAAAACCCCACCTGGAAAGTGAGCTATGGGTTTATGTGACATTTGGCACCTGAATGAGCTCAGGCACTTCAGTGCTTCTTCTGAGTTGCAGATGAGGAACTCCCATGTTCTCTAGCTGAGGGAAACAGATTACTATTCAAAAAGTTTGATCTTGGTGGCTTAAAGGGCAGTAGCAACAGAAGCTCTGCTAATGAAATGTGTAGATGACTTAAAGGACTAATGGTTTAAATGATCTTTCTGTGACCGATAAAGCTTGTAGGCATTGAGGAGCCACTCTAAATAGTATTTGTCTACTCATAACAGACAACTTAACAACTACAAAAAAAGAAAAAGCTTTACCTTTAGGTGTCTGGTCATGTCAGCAAAAACTGCAGATGTTTCCACAGTCGGTATTGCAGCTCTCTCTTTGTCCTGAAATAACAAATATAAATTTAAAGCATTTAAAATAACCCTTTGTTGATCTCGAAAAAGCAATTAGCACTTGTTTTTAGTTTATTATTTCCTGCTAAAATTTCTCAGGGAATAGTATAAGCGTTCTCCTTTGTATTAATAGAGAAATAGAATAAACCAGTACAATTATCTTCTATTGTCTCTCAGAGAGGAAACGTTTGGAAACCCCCCCATGTATAAGCAACATGCAGATACACATTAAGGAAAAAATGTACAAACAAAATATAAATAAGAGCTTTACAGTAATGGTAAATTCACAGCATAAGAAAAAATACTGTTCAGTTGAGTTTAAAATGGCAAAGTTATTTGTTTCCATTTAGAGTAAAAATCATACTTTAGGCAGACATCTTTCTATTTTTCATCTGCTATTAAGCTTCGCATTGAAGTTCAGTCCATATAAGTAAATTAGCTTGGCATTTAGGTTTAGCTGATTTAAAACAGGTACTCAGCCACTAATGGCTGCCTAAGTGTCACAGATTGTAAACATGCCAAAGACAGAGAACCTTAGATGATGATGCCTCATCATCCTCTGTTAAATCCCTACTGATCCTTCTCCTCTTTGTCAATGGGAGGTAGTTGACTGCTTTACTTTTAAAGTCTACTCTTCTATTTTTGAAGCATGTTCTGCCCAGAATGCTGGCATGATCAGAAACAGGGATTAGATAAAGAAAGAACAAAATTAGTTACCAAAGTACGCAAAAAAATAAAACATATTCAAAATATCATTATTCTAAGCTCTTACTGCTGCTACATCCCTTCAGAGAAGTACCTCTAAGGAGTACATAATAGTTATACCTCTTAATACTTCTACTTCTTTTTATCAAACGAGCAATAAATATCATTAGTAAAATATATCTAACTAGCATTTTAAAAACATCTGAATTGGTCAATTCATATTATTCATTTAAACTGTAAGCTGGACATGTATCGTTTTTTCAACTGTGGCCTCATCAGGCATCAGATTTCTTTCCGTGCATTCTTTCACAGTGCTTTATTGCAATATATTTGTCTTTTTTTTTGTATTTTCTTTTTGGGTTTTTGTTGTCATTTGAATTGTAGGATATGAATACGTTCAGAAAGTAATGTGTCCTATGAAAATGTACAGCTTGTGCAAATATGCTTGGCAGCTAAAGCGTTTCTGAAAAGGTCCTTGAAAATATTTCTAAAGAATTCTGGGTATTTTGCTCACTGACTTCTTTTCCCCTGTCCTTTTTTTTTTAACTAAATTTTTTTCCCCTCACTCCTGCCAGGCTTGAAAAGTCCAGTCAAGTACGTACAGTCTCCAGCAGCAACTTGTTCTTCAAGGGCAGCCGGTTCCGCTACAGGTAGAGTATCCTGTGATGACAGGGCAGAAAGGACACTGAAAAAAATAACAGTCGGGGGTGAATATAATTATCCCTAGAGGACGTGGCCTCCTGGCCTTTTGCAGAGCTTTGTCTCTGAGGATGAGTAAGTGGAGAGAAGAAAATGAAGGGGAGCTGATCACACTTTGATTCTGCTGGAAATATGTTTTGCTCTGTGGACATTATTGCAAATTGATATATTCTAATTTGATTAAAAAAAAATATATAAATCAGCCTTTTTGATGAAAGGTTTGTTAGCATAATCGCACTATTTCACTACAAAAATAAGTGCATTTACCCTTAAAGGTATAGTGGATAATTTTCTCCATTTTAAAAAAAAGAAATCCACATGCACAACCCTGTACCCACTTCCTAGAGGAAACTCCTATTAAACATGTTTGAGAGCGTGCACGAGCCCATTTCTCCTCATGCACGCTTTGTTTAAAAGTTGCAGTTTTCATCGCTCATACAAGATTACTTTCCAAAAGAAGATTCCCAATTTTTCTACTATGTCAGAATAACCACCGGTAAGTGAAAATGGGGATGAGAACGTAGGACGATCTTACATAAACATATCAGCACAATGATTGACAATTATGAGGACCACTTATTTTTATGATCCACCTGGAAAAAGAACATGATTGGCCAATGGAGTGTTGGAATCGGGAGTGTTGGCCTAGTGGTTAGAGCAGTGGACTTGTGCTCTAAGAAGGATGCAAGTACCAAGGTGCAATGTGAGATCAATATAGTTCAATTTTAATTTTAAATTTAAAAAAATGAATGCATAGTTTTACTCTTGAATAATTAGATAATATTCACTTGATATAAAACAATGCATTTTTTTTTTAAATGTTAATAGTCATGTTCCATTAGCAATGTTTCTCACACATCTCCTCAGTTCAACAAAAATTGATTTATTTTAAGAAAAAATGGCTTATTTAGATTTCAATTTTTTGCAGTGTATGTTTTGATACAAATGTGTTTGTGTGGCTGATAACTTCCTGCACTTAAAGCCTATAGTGCATACATACCTTTTATATTTTAATGTCTTTACTAATTCCCCTGTCACTGTCAATTTATCTTACAACAGTGGAAGAGTGGCGAAAGAGGTGATGGAGCAAAGTGCCAGAATCAAACGGGAACCTCCTGAAATACACAGGTAGACGTAGGTTTGATATCAGACATTTGTTACAATCTGTAACTTCTTTTAATGCATTTGTCTATTTTGATAACAGGGCTGGCCTTGTGCCCAGTAGAAGTTGTCCATCCATCACCCACGGGCCTCGCCTCAGCAGTGTTCCCCGCACGCGTCGGAGAGCTGTGCACATATCAATCATGGAGGGTAAGACAAAAAAACCTGTATGTAGATTCATAGGAAGCAATCAGCAGAGTTAACTTATAAACATATTCCTACCTCTTAAACCTGTTTTTATTTTTGTTTTGCACAATCAAACATTTCAATGTGTCTTTAGTTCAGAAATAAACACAAAGTTGTGTATGGGTATGAACTAGAAAGGAAATGTTTTTAAAATGTTAATAAAACAATCATCTCTATGGTGGAAAAATGTCTCTAAAGCTTCCAAATAAAATCCAATGCAACCAAAGCAGAAACTCACCTACTTGATGAATAAAAACCTGTGTAGCTGTTCTATGAAGACCTCACAGGTTTGTTACAGAAAGTCAGTGATTAAACCATATCGATATGATGAAGAATCACATCTGACAGTTTGCTGGGAGGAATTACATACCTGATAAAGCATGGTTATCCACCTTAAGTGACTCCAGGCAGAACATTTATATGATGAGCAACCAGAAGCTCATTGCAGTCGAAGCATTTTGTGGACTTCATTTAAAGCCTCTTTTGAAAAACAAACAAAAAAAAAAGAACCGGAAGTTTGTATTTTACCATAAACCATGAAGGAGACAGCAGAAAAAGATGGCCGAGGTAGATGACAGAAAGACTGAGCTTTTTTTCCTCATACGTGGCTCATCTAATCCTCAGTATGAAACATGGTGGCGATGAGGGGATGCTTTTGTTTTCTCCTTTGGCAGATCGAAATGAAGCTACAGCTGTCACAGAAAATCCTTGCATGTTGGGACAGTTCAAGGGCTATGGATACTAAAACAAAGCAGAAACGTACCTTTGTCTGGGTTGAGACAGACCGATACAGAAGATCGTTCCTGCCTACAGCTATAGACACCTTAAATCAACTGGATAAAAATGATATGAATAACTGTAACATTTAATTTCCCTTTGGAATTAAGAAAGCATCTTAAATCAAAAAATTGTGCATAGCTGATAAGTCATGTCTAAGGCTGTGCATTTAAACTGAAATAAAGATCCTTTGGGTGAGAGACAGACCCCCCCCTCCCCTTTTTTTCCTAGTTTACCATCTTAACCTCTCATGTTCAGCCTGAAACTGAAGCCATTTGGCTGAGTGGCCTACTGCTGGTGTAAGCGTCACTCAGTCCCTTTAACTCAGTTCAGCAGAGCCTTAAAGATATATGTGCATGTCTGTGTAATGCCAGCTAAAGTCACATAAGGCCAACCTGTCCAGAATCCGTCCTGGTGACACTTGTTTAGCTATCTGCTCTTTGTACAGTGAGATAAATAGAGATAAGAAGTTGGTATGTTGTGTATGTTAAGAAGAGCAGTAGGAGTTTCCTACCCTCTGTCTGTGCTGACTTGATGTCTTGGTGGTGTATAAATACTTCGGCTGAAAATAACCAGGGTCTTCTACTCCATGTATGTCACTGGCCTGGGTGGGGCCAAGCTGGGAGGCTAATGCTGCCGATTGTAGCAGTGCTTGCAGAAAGCCACTGTTTCGTCTTCAGAGGCAACAAAGCCATTGACTCGAGGCCTGGATTTGGGGCAGGGGACATCAGGACAGAACAGCACTGCAGCAATGGTGAAGTGTCTGATCCGCATCACCACCCGGGTGAACGTTCACCTGCGGATGATCAACCACTGTTACCGGGATGTGAAGGTCCGTGTGCTGAGCCTGGGGCCTCGTATGCTGGGAAAGGCCCTGGGCGTCCTGCCCCTTTACCCTGCCCTGATGGGGCAGCAGGAGCCCAGCAGAATCCGTCCTCATCCAGGTACCCCGCTGCCCTACCCTCAGGCCAGTGGCCCTCCAGGTAAAGTGGGCTGCAAATGAAAGGATTTGGAGACTTTATCTGTTGTCACGTTTTCCACATATTTGTGATTTGTTTTAATAGGTTTGAAGCAAAACACAGGAAAAAAACAACTTTTTTCTTGTTAATGTTAGCAGAGGTTTAGAAATTAGGTATAATCCTTCCTGCTTTTTCTTTTAATGATCTCGTCAACGTAAGCTCACATTTGGTTTCCCTTCATTTTGCAGTGAAGGTATAATGTTGCTGCTTTGACCCCCCCTGAGAATGTGACTCCGTCAGCAAAGTACTCTGCCATAGCTCATCCTTACTGTAGAGCGTCTCTGTTACTGTACCGGTTTCCTTTAGTGCAGAATAGATACTTCATCTATAAATCCGACTCTTTTGAAGCCCTGTTGGTGAATCTCGGTTGTTGGGGACTTGGTGTAACCTAGGAAAAGCTGAGAAAAGTATTCCAGCATAAGATGCGTGACATTCAGCATATTTATAAAACTTTCTGTGACTCTTTTCTGCTTATTTAGGATTTTAAAAAGATTTTGCCAACTGCATGATAGTTTACTTAAGTAGAATAAATAGAGTAAAAAATGTTCACATGATCTTGGTTTTTATTTTAGGTAAAAGCTTCTTGGTGACTAATGAAGCTTTTTAAGTATTTTCTATGAAATGAAGCACCCCTGTGATTTCAGAAATGCTATGAAACTGTATAACAAATTATTTAAACTATTTAATTTTTTCTTACTACCTTAGTTAGGAATCCCTGGTGTATGATCAGGGTTGGACTGTAAGAAAAAGATGATCAGATTCTGGATGTGACGATACGTCTCCATTCAAGGCAAGGCAAGGCAAAGTGCTTTACATAATTAAAATATAGGAAAATAAAATAGAATCAAAGCAAGTAGGGAAAAAATGAATAAATAAAAAATACAGAAACAAAAAAAGAAGGTTTAAAAAGGTTGGAATAAAGAAAATAAAAAAGTTGAACCAATGATGTTTCAGTAACAAACCTCTGCTGAATCAACAGCCTTGAAGAATCTCACTGTGAGCTACTTCATAGCTTTTCCAACCCGTTGCTGGAATAAAGGAAGATCCTTTTGATATGAGTGTCTTAAAATGAATTTCTATGCCTTTAAATAATATGGGAAAGCTGTGTTACATCATAGAGGAATCAAATGAAATAGGCAGATGTCAAAAAGAAAAATCTGGATCTCCAGAAGGCTGATCCATCAGTGGGTAGTGAAAGGCCACATTGATCTCTGAAAGATGATAAATAATTGACAAACGCTGAAAAAGCTGGATGTCATTAAGTTTTCGTTAAGGAATGAAAAGGTTTTGTTGAGATGCTGGGCAAAGGGGGCGTGGTAATCTCTTGGAGGGGAAGTCAAAATTTTTAATTGAGAAAGCTTCCTGGAGGGGAAGCAAAACGTCTTCAAACCTTGGAAACAAAGTCCAGTGCATTGTTTTTTAAACTTTTACGGAATGACAATGACCTGGATGACTGAGAATCCTCACCAGCATACATTTATATAAAACTCAGAAACCTTCAACCCCTTGTAAAGTACCTTGAGATTATGTTTATTGACACTGTGTGGATATAAATACTGGAAATATATATACATTTTTTATGTATCCCAGGATTTCAAGTATATTTTAAACCTTAAAATAGCATACTAACATAGTACTCTGATTTCCAAGCTTCCCCGGAGTTGCTTATATTAATTAATGTGCTCAAAGAAAAGAAAGAGGTAATAAAAATTTATGTGAAGTTAAAGAATTTTTTATTGAGTAATAATTGTGTAATTATCGAAGGCAAGGTAATAGTAATTGTGGATTTGGATGCAGTTTCTTGCAGCCACGTTAGTCACAAACCTCTGTCATTATCTGATGGACTGTGATTTAATTCAGTGTAAATCATCCGGTTTTGTCATGTTTCATTTGGTTTCAGTGCTTAGTTAGGCTTCTCTGATTCCCATCTGTATTCCTGTGTTTAACACTGATTTGAGCTCCGTTCCTCCCATCAGGCTTTTCACGCATAGGCCATACTTCAGTTCCATTAATGTTTGTTCGGCATTTACTGTACATGCCCCTTTTCAGTTTGTTCCATATTATATTGTCTCTCTTATCTTTCCTTCCTATGCTTTTCTTATTTTGTTTCTGCCTGCGTCTTGCCTGTGTTTGGGTACTTTAAAGCAAAATATTTTATAGAACCTTTACTGGTAAACTTACACAAAGCTTTGCATAATTTGGAAGAGAAAGAAAAAGGATACATGATGTTTGATTTTGCTTTTCTGATTAATAGTCTATTGGACGAGGAATTAAATAGAGAGATATCTGAGATGAGAAGTAAGAAACATAACCTTAGAAGCTGATCCTGTTTAAATGGAATACATTCTGATGAACTTTATTTAGCATTTCACTCATTTGTTGGATGTATTCATGTAACAGAGGGACGTCTTTGACGAGGTTGATTGATTGAAGAGTGTTTGATGGATAGAATGGTAAAAAAAAAAACAACTTTTTTTCTAACTGCCTTTTTCACACCTCTCCCCAGGTCTGGAGTCTTTGCGTGACAGTGCCCACTCTACACCGGTGCGCTCTGTGTCCCACGGAGAGTCTTTCATCACCCGGTCCCGCAGCCACGCTGCAGATTCCAGCGAGGGGATGGCAGTCATCTCAGACGATGCCTACAGTCCCTCTGACAGCATCCTTCCCACCCCGGTGACTGAGCACAGCACAGACACAGCCTCCTCACGCCAAATCAACGGTGCACCCTGCAGCATCGAGGAGGAAAAGGAGTCGGAGGCAGGCACCCCGATGCGTGGGGAAGGGGGGGAATTTGGTCTGGACAGTAGAGCTGCGAAAGAAGGTGCAGGGGAAGACTCGGCACTGAGCGAGGTCGAACAGGTGAATAAGTTTGTTCTAAGTGTCCTCCGCTTGCTTCTGGTCACCATCGGACTCCTTTTTGTCTTGCTCCTCCTCCTCATCATCCTCACCGAGTCTGACCTTGACATCGCGTTTTTAAGCGACATCCGTCAGACCCCCGAGTTTGAACAGTTCCATTACGAGTACTTTTGTCCTCTCAGGCGGTGGTTCGCCTGCAAGCTCCGCTGGGTGGGCGGGTTGCTCATTAACAACTGAGGAAGCGGTGGTAACTTCAAAAAAACCCATTCAGGGGGCGTGAGAAGATTGTTGGGAGTCTGGAGTGATGAAGGACAATCTGATTTAAACCAAGAACAAGCATCTTTCCACTTCCTCCTGCATTAAAACAAGTCAGACTTGCCCTCCTAACGCTACGCCAGGATCTCTCTCCCCCCACCTTAACTCCCCATCCTGCTACAATTTTATTTATCAAAGCCTGAAGACTGTTTGTTTGTTTGTTTGAAATTTTAAAGTCATTTCAGGAACTTTATTTTTACAAATAACATAAAATTTTGAAAAAAACAAAATCATCAACTGCAGAACCAGAAGCGGATTTTTCCGTATAATGGAACATGCTGGTTTCTTTAGGAGTTTAAGGTTTTACTTTAATTCAATATTTCTAAGAAACACACAAAGGCCTAAATTTTCTGGTTTGAATTAATTTTTATGTGATCAGAAAAAAAACAAAAAAGTTAAACCATGAAAAATCATTTCAAGACTTTTTCCATATGTATTGTGATTTATATCCTGTATTCCTCAACTGACAAGTGAGCAAATCTGTAAGGGACAAAAATTTGAAAAGGTACAATTAACTTTCTGCAAAAGTGTGCCCACTTTTAAACTATTTATTTGTTCAAGCAACTTTAGTCTTAGTTTCAGCACAAAGAAAATAAAACGACATGCATCAGCAATGAATTAAATGGTAATTATTAGGAAGGCTGGCGGTAACTCCGAAGAAACTGCAGTAGTTCTGTATAGATTCCGATTATAACAAATTGATTGTCAATACTTTTACATTTTAAAAGACATTTGCCTCAAAAAACAAAACAAAAACATCCCTATGCATTTCTGAAAGAGAATCCTACCAGCAGTTATACAGGATGGCAGCAGCATCATGGTCTGTGGTTGCTTTTCTTCATGGGGAACTTGGGTTTTGGAAGCATTTCCAAATAATTAAATTTTTCCTTCAAAACCTTCAGGCATCTGCTAGAAACTTACAGGCGGAAGTTGCTTCTGAAAAGTCTCAAAAGTTGCTTCTGAAAGGTTTTCAAGTTGCACACATCTCTGAAACTAAGCATTGCAAAAATGTTTTGGCTTTTGTATTATCCAAGAATCATTTTATCAAGGGTCTGTAGAAGTCTGCAAACTGCTGTACGTAATGTAGAGAATAAGAGAAGGTAATGAATGTTAGTTAAGAAGGCTGATTCGTCTTTAAGAGACGCGAGTGAGACAAGAGTCTGAAAATGCCAACTGGGATGATGGAGTCATGGTCTTTTGATATTAGTGTGTTATTATAAGAAGACAAGGAGTGGCTTAACCTCTTCACAAGAGACTAATGTGTAAAAAGTAAGAAAAAGATGACAGACAGGGGGATTACTTAATGCCTTTTTTGAATACGTATTTATGACTATTTAGGTTTTTGGGGAATCTAGTCTTGTCAAGCATCCATATGCAGTGTTACACAAGATCAGCAGATGGGGATGAAGGTAGTTTTTTTTCTAATATTTTCTAAGAATCCCGTGAAATAAAGCCGTAGTTCCATGTGTCCTAGTAGAGTCTGAAATAGAGAAACCCTCACAATGTGGACAGATGCACAAGTAGATACTAGTCTAGATATAGATAGATAGATGTGCAATGCCGATGTGGTTTTAATAACGAAATACTTTGAATGTGCTCATTTCTTCAGTTTTATTTTATTTTATTCATCCTATTGAAATTCAATGAATTTCATTTGCTTTTCTTTTCATGAAGAGTTTGATTTATTCTGGTTTCAGCCTTGCTCTTCAGTTTCTGTATTATGCTATATTAATATAACTGCTAGAATAAGAGCAATGATGTACATTTTTGTACAAAATAGTTTGTTTCCTATTATATATATATATATATATATATATATCTACAGTTTTTTTTCCATGTATATTTTGCCAGAACTGAAATATTATTTTGTTATTGAAGATTAAATGATACCTTTTTCTAGTGCTGCACTTCAAGTGAGGCCGGATGCATTTATGGACAGAAGGTGGGGGAATAAATGAAACAGGACTTTCAGCCAGATTCACTCACCAGTAATTACACCAGCCTTTGTTTTAGCAAGAGTAGGTCTAAAGCTTGCAAATTATCTGCAGTGTTAATTAATTAGTATTTTATTTTTCATCAAATGCAATTTGGATTAATCCTCAAAAGTGGTGCAAATCATCCACAAAATCTGATTTCAGCTGTTGTAACTTTACCTTTAGTTATTTTACTTTGAAAGAAGAGATGCCGTGCTCGAAACACTAACTGGGATCTCTGGTAAAGAAGTGGAAAAGGCTTTGAATTTGATTAGTCTTTTATTGCAATGGACACTTACGGTATTTATGCACATTTTGAAACAGACAAAGAAGGTTATAATCATGTTATCTAAACCAGAGGTCTTCAACAGGGGGTCCATGGAGGTACTGCATGGGGGTCGTGAAAGTTTTGGTTTATTAGACTTTGTTTTTATATTGCCCCCCTGCAATTTTTTCCACTAATTGAATTTTTTTTAAATACACATTCACATGAATTCAACACACTGAAGTAAGCAGATAAATGGAGGCAGAAGATGTCTTTCAGTCAACAATGCACACATTCAGCGACACACAGGAGCTTTCTCAAGCTGGGCACCATTTCATTCACAACACCTGTCCCATCAACCAGGAATCAGAATCAGAAATACTTTAATAATCCCAGGACTAAATTACTTTTATTACATTACTCCATCTGTAATAGACTGGCTTTAGGACCAGTTTAATAAAATACAATTTCATACTTAGTTAAGGGGTCCCCCGATCCATCTCACCATCAGTTTGGGGGGTCCTTGGCCTGGAAAACTTTGAAGACCCCTGATCTAAACTATTCCTGTTTTTATTCTGTAATGAGTTGGATTATGTTTTTGCTAAAAATGTCTTATGAAATCTTATTTTCAGCTGTCTTGCAGAGAAAATTTTATTTTTAGATAAAAAGCTTATGTAGCCATATGTTCATTAGGTTCCTCTAGCCTTTGAAAGAGAATATAGAGCAACAGGAGCACAGGTATAATTAACAGGAGACATGTGGTGCCAGGGTTCTGTTTTTTAAATGTCATGAGAGTCTTAATTAAAAAGTAAGCTCTTTTGTTATATTTATACCCTAGATAAATAAATAATTGATGGGTTTTGATTACAATAAGTGAAGCACCTGGCATTTTCCTGAACTGTCTTTCTTTTCCACTGAACTCACATCTTCAAGGGTCTCTTACGCATCTTTACCTAAGATCCAGAGTGCTTCACTGCATCAGCAGAGCAATATAAACCTAACTCACTAATATTTCTGCATCAATATGTTTGACAAAACTGGGACTGATATAATTACATAATTGTTCATTTAAAATATTATAAATTACGAGTTGTTTTTACAAATATGCCCAAGTTTATCCAATCCGGTTCCAGTATTTTGTTTAATTGGTATTAAACATAGAATAAGGAATCCTCAGTATTTGAGTCGATCTGTTTGCTGTCCTGCATCAGAGGAGGCATCATGGCAGCTGAATGGTGGTTAAAGACCAGCCGTTTTTTACTCATGTGAAGGGCAGGAAATTGAAACAAATTAGACATAAGAAAATGAAAAAAATAAAATTATTATGAATGATTGGAACCACAGTTTGGTGTTAGAAGTCATTTAGCTCTTTTCTGTTTGTGTAACGATTGGACAAGGCAGACTGCTCATTCTTAATCCAGCAGCTCCTCTGAAGGCCTGATGGTGCTACGTTTCTGTCTACCCTGATTTAATCCAAGCCTATCAGTCCCTGGGGAAGTTGTGGTCCTGATGGGAGGGGGTAGCATGCTCTTTGGCGTTGTGGCTGGATCCACTCCTGTAGCTCAGTATCTTTCACTAGTGGTAATCACTGGTGCAGGCAACATTATACTAAACAGACAGAGCTGTACTAGCACCACAAGTCTTTTTTTTATTCCCATCTAATTATGCAGCCAATGCAAAGACAAAGCACACTTTTCAAAGCAGCAATTCATGTAGATTTGTTGTGCATTCATCCATGCATTATATTTAGTTTGCTAATATGGAGGTCCAAAAGTGCTACCATTTATTAAATAACTGCTTAAAGTATTGATCTGTTTAAATTTGAAACAAATTTGAAGAGCTACGCTAAGACTTTGTTACAACAGTAAGTAATGAAGTAACAGGAAGAAGCAATAGGAAAATAATTATATATGGTTTAACATTTCAATTTTAGATTTCCTTTCACTTACTGTTATTAGATATGCAAGTTTTTTTTAAAAACATTTATCAATGACATTTGATTGTGGCACTTTTGGATTTCCATGCTTCTTTACCCAGCTGTCTCGTTTTTAAACATTTCTTTGAAGTCTGTAAAGGCGTTTAGTTGACTTCTGTCAGCATTATGTAGCTTTATTGCTCTCCCTCTGCACATACAACATATATTTTTTAAAAGGCAGCATCATTCTAGGAGCAATAAGCTGTAAGAGCACAGGGTGGGACGCACAGACTTCATGATACATAAACGTCTGTTTCTTTAAATAAGCACATATGAAACTGCTGCTGGGCTTTCTCCGATGACCTGACTACTTTGTAACAGCTCTACTGAGTAAGTTCCTTTTTGACACTTCTTACGTTGATGTTTATTCTGCTGTCTTTATGATTGACATATTGTTCCTTGTGCCTGTATTTTGCAATAACCAAAGTGGCTGGAATTGTCAACTTCAGCAAGAGCTCTACATCGTCTCAATTTTTTTTCTTGAAAAAGGGACACGTAAAAAATGCTGAATATAAACTTGGGGGAAGATTAAATCTTGTTTTTTCATTCAATACTGACATACTATTTTACGTTTACATGGATTTTTTGTTTTTCTTTAAGTAAATTTCTATATTTGGTCATATGTGAAACTATAATTTTTGTTGCCTATGATTTATATAGAGAATAGGGGTATCTGTTCTTGAAACCATCTTTTCCACATATGGAAGACATGATTTATCCTTAACTGCTGAAATAAGTTTTTTTTTTTTTTACACCATCTCAGGCATATAAAGGGGTTGAACTGTTTTTTTTTATATATATATATATAAAATAAGCAGAATAAATCAACTTTTTCATATGTGATCTTGGCAAGGCATGTTGCAAACAATTAATGAAACTTGCCACATTTCAAGACACCCAGCTCTGCTTTTCCCAGTCATCTCCCAGGTATTACAGACCCACATAACGCATACAAGCGTTTCCGTGTCTGGTGGTGTATTTTTTCTTTTTGTTTCCTTCAATTGGATATTGCTGTTAAATTGTTCAGTATTTTAAAAATGTAAATCTTATATAAACCTGTGTGCCAAATCCAGTTCCTGTTCTGTCTGATCCATTCCAACCCAATGTTTGTACTGTAGGCAAGCTTGTGTACAAGTTGCTAAAAATATTGTTTCTCTCCAATAGCCCCCTGTATCTGGTGCCATTAAAGGATGCTATTCAAATTTGAAATAAATTAATAAAAAAAAATAAAAGCAAAAACAATGCATCTATTGATGTGGTTTCTGTCTCTCAATTTCCCTTTTAAATGACTAAATGCAGAAAACTTGGTGAAATAGTCACAAATTCTATTCTACATATTCTTTATTACAAAAAGTGAAAGATTAGTCAAAAGAAACTCACTGATCCATAACACTTTAAATATCACATCAATTTACAACAATTACATGTATGTAAACATTTAGCATGGGAACAAGACTATTATGTACAGTTCTCACATTTAAAAGCTGTTGCACAACTTTAAACTAGCTGAACACCGACGGGTTTGCGATTTAAGCAGCTTTTAGCTCATGTGAGAATAGGTTGGTTTCAAAAAGGGACGCTGGTTGTTTCGAGGTGTCGGGGCCGACAGGATTCCTGGTGTCCTGCCTCCTCGTGCATCTCCTGCAGCATTCCTAGACCCTCGGCCTGCGCTTTGGGAGCCACCCCTGGAACCGGAATACGAGGACTCAGTGGAGCTGTATCCACGACTACATCCACAAATACAAAAGAAGAAAAAAAATCAGAAGTCACTCAGTGCTGTGGAAATAAGAGTAAACCATCAAGCTGAGAGTCAATCATGGCGCTGGTAGTGAGATTGTGTGGGCCTTATAAAGGGCCAGGTTAGTGTGGAAAGCATTTTGCTTTAGGAAATAAAAACTGAGTTATTTTGATTATACATTTTATCCAATGCTCATAAAAAAATATTGGCAAACAAGCAAAGATGGAGGAAACCTGTAAAGCAGGCTTTTAGCTAGGAATATTCTATAGGGTATACACTTTGGTGCATCGTTTCTTCAGGCTTTGTGAGGCGTTACCGTAGCATTGTAGGGGGTCCGGAATATTTTGAAATTTAGACTGAAGCACAATTTCCTGCATTTTGAGGTGGAATGCAGCTAACTTTTTCGTCTTTGTTACAACACCAATTTTTTCTGATTATGGGAATTATGTCTGCTTGATTAGAGGTGGTAATTTCATAAGGAAAACATAAGATCATTTTTAGGTAGAATATTGTGTTTTATAGGTTATTTCAAACAGTCAGAGTATGACCTAAACCTACTGCTTAAGATGAAACCTGATTGTTACATATACAACAAGTGAACATAAACTGAAAAACAGTCTACAATTACTACAACACTATCTGCAAACCAACAGCTGAGAAAGGATTGCTTTTATTTCCGTGTATCTACTACAGGTGCTGGTCATAAAATTAGAATATCATGAAAAAGTAGATTGATTTCAGTAATTCCATTTAAAAAGTGAAACTTGTATATTATATTCATACATTACATACAAACTCATATATTTCAGATGTTTATTTTGTTTAATTTTGATGATTACAAATGACAACAAATGAAAATCTCAAATTCATCATATCAGAAAATTAGAATATTGTGAAAAGGTTCAAAATTGATGGCCCCTGGTGCCACACTCTAATCAGCTAATTAACTCAAACCACCTGCAAAAGCCTTTAAATGGTCTTTCAGTCTAGTTCTATAGGCTACACAATCATGGGGAAGACTGCTGACTTGACAGTTGTCCAAAAGACGACCATCGACACCTTGCACAAGGAGGGCAAGACACAAAAGGTCATCGCTAAAGAGGCTGGCTGTTCACAGAGCTCAGTGTCCAAGCACATTAATAGAGAGGCGAAGGGAAGGAAAAGATGTGGTCGAAAAAAGTGTACAAGCAAGAGAGATAACCGCACCCTGGAGAGGATTGTGAAACAAAACCCATTAAAAAATGTGGGGGAGATTCACAAAGAGTGGACTGCAGCTGGAGTGAGTGCTTCAAGAACCACCACACACAGACGTATGAAAGACATGGGTTTCTGCTGTCGCATTCCTTGTGTCAAGCCACTCTTGAACCACAGACAGCGTCAGAAGCGTCTTGCCTGGGCTAAAGAGAAACAGGACTGGACTGCTGGTGAGTGGTCCAAAGTCATGTTCTCTGATGAAAGTAAATTTTGCATTTCCTTTGGAAATCAAGGTCCCAGAGTCTGGAGGAAAAGAAGAGAGGCACTTCATCCACGTTGCTTGAAGTCCAGTGTAAAGTTTCCACAGTCAGTGATGGTTTGGGGTGCCATGTCATCTGCTGGTGTTGGTCCATTGTGTTTTCTGAGGTCCAGGGTCAACGCAGCCACATACCAGGAAGTTTTAGAGCACTTCATGCTTCCTGCAGCTGACCAACTTTTTGGAGATGCAGATTTCATTTTCCAACAGGACTTGGCACCTGCACACAGTGCCAAAGCTACCAGTACCTGGTTGAAGGACCATGGTATCCCTGTTCTTAATTGGCCAGCAAACTCTCCTGACCTTAACCCCATAGAAAATCTATGGGGTATTGTGAAGAAGAAGATGCAATACACCAGACCCAACAATTCAGAAGAGCTAAAAGCCACTATTAGAGCAACCTGGGCTATCATAACACCTGAGCAGTGCCACAGACTGATCGACTCCATGCCACGCCGCATTGCTGCAGTAATACAGGCCAAAGGAGGCCCAACTAAATACTGAGTGCTGTACATGCTCATACTTTTCATGTTCATACTTTTCAGTTGGCCAACATTTCTATAAATCCTTTGTTTTTATTGGTCTTCAGTAATATTCTAATTTTCTGATATGATGAATTTGAGATTTTCATTTGTTGTCATTTGTAATCATCAAAATTAAACAAAATAAACATCTGAAATATATGAGTTTGTATGTAATGTATGAATATAATATACAAGTTTCACTTTTTAAATGGAATTACTGAAATCAATCAACTTTTTCATGATATTCTAATTTTATGACCAGCACCTGTATTAGAGCAACCTGGGCTATCATAACACCTGAGCAGTGCCACAGACTGATCGACTCCATGCCACGCCGCATTGCTGCAGTAATACAGGCCAAAGGAGGCCCAACTAAATACTGAGTGCTGTACATGCTCATACTTTTCATGTTCATACTTTTCAGTTGGCCAACATTTCTATAAATCCTTTGTTTTTATTGGTCTTCAGTAATATTCTAATTTTCTGATATGATGAATTTGAGATTTCCATTTGTTGTCATTTGTAATCATCAAAATTAAACAAAATAAACATCTGAAATATATGAGTTTGTATGTAATGTATGAATATAATATACAAGTTTCACTTTTTAAATGGAATTACTGAAATCAATCTACTTTTTCATGATATTCTAATTTTATGACCAGCACCTGTATGTTGAGAATACAGCTTAAACCGAAACTATTTCTGAAACTTGATTGTCACATTTTCATGTATCTTAGTGCAATTTTGTAAATGTAAGCTGATGTGTTACACAAGCAGGTGTATCTGGCCAAAGGGCAGATATATACTAATTGTAAATGTCCAAAGGGCAAAATAAGCTCACCGTTACCAACGAACAGGCATTTATCGATCTTTTGGAAAAAAGACTCCAATTATCTCAAAGAACAACGGAGAAAAAAATCAGCATCTGTTTGACATTTGCTACGGATTTAGGACAGATCGCGCCCCCTCCCCAGTTTTCACTGACAATATTGACCCAAAGAACAAATACACCTCAAAATAATCCTATAGTTATCAGGAATTCAATGAGTTTTCGTTAACTTTTTAAAGATGAAGTTGTCTGTAAAGACATTAGATATTCCACCTTATTCCAGGTGCGAATTAGGGCGTACCTAATCCGTACATCCCAAAAACAGAGCGTACAATTTCTAATATTTTTTGTAAAGGCTTTACAATGTACGCCCGTGCGTATTGCTAGCTAAAAGCCTGCTGTAGAGATGATCATGACTCCACGTACCCCTTAGAAGAGTAGCTTTGTTTTCCATATCCTTTTCTTTTCTTAGAATACTTGAAGAATGGAGCCTTCTTCCTCTTCTGTCCCTGAGCAGGCTGGTTGCAGAAGTAGGTGGAGGACTCCATACCCTCATCTTCTGAGCGTCTGGTGTCTATCCAGCCATCTCCTGGATTTTCAGTCTGCTCTTCTACTACAGAGACAAAACTCATCAATTCAACACTGTATACCACATCCCCCTAAAAACAGTAATGTACTGAAGTGTGTCCTCCTACCAGTGAGCTGCCATTCAGAGTATTTCTGAAGCACCTTAATGACCTCAGCTCCATACTTCTCCAGTTTGTCCTCCGTCACACCATCAATTTGTAGGAGGACTTCTGGATCAGAAGAAAGCCTCTCTGGATTCAGAACACAGAAAGTTAGAAAATAATGCAGTTGCTGCACATCCAACCGATTCGCAGGTTAAATAATTACCAGATATCTTCTTTAAGGTGGCAGTGGAGAAGATGTTGTAATAATGAAGACCAAATGCTTTGCCCAGCTGCTTGCACAGATCGATCAGCTCCTTCAGACATTCCTGAACCATCTCCTCTCTTTTGGAGACACTCTTGGAGGCAGAAGCTTTGTGCTTCCTGATGCTGGATGCGCTCTCTGTCTCATAGAACTCCACCTGGATGTGACAAATGTAGAACAATGTTTTTGTATTCACCAACAAACAAAGTAAAGACAAAACGTTTCACTTTTCTAGCTTAGTAGATGAAGTTAAGCAATTATCCAAGATGAAGATGCCAGTCTGCAGCTGGACTAGGAGCCATTTTGTTCTGGGTCCGGCTGATTAAAAGTCGTCTATTACCATAAATGTTGAAGCTTTGCTGACTAACTATGACCTTTTAATAAAACAATTTATTGTCTTTGTTGAATATCAGCTATAGGAAATCTGTTTAATACATTTTATACAATGTATTAAAAAAACCACAGTCAAAAGCAAATCAGATGTCCTCTTTTTCCTGGACATGTCCTACTTTTCATACCTAAAAATTTCCAGATGGGATTTTAAAACAGTCAGAGATTTTGGTTGACTACAGTGCACCCGAAGCGAGCCTTCCCGGGCAGGCGGGGGGAAGCATGATAAGGCAGGCAGGTTCGGTCGCTCCGAACACCAACAAACAATATAATATAGAGGCAGACAGGCAGTTCATCAAGAACGAAAACATAAAAAGCTCAGTGGTGTCTAAGCATTCGTTGCGATTCTAGCTAGCATGTGGGCAATGAAATGGAATAATGTAAACAGATGCAAAACCCAATCATACATGGCAACATATTTTTGCCAAATATTGGAACATAAATTCGCCAAATCTAAGAGGAACATCGTAGTTTGCTTTAAAGAAAGTATTGTTTCAAGGATTTTACAGTTTGAAGAAATAGAAAATTACACCATCTTCCAATTGTCACAAGGATGTGCATGACAAAGAAGGGCTATATATACTACATGCATCATTTAGGTAGTTGACCTTGAGTTTTTTACTGTCACAGGTAGGTGCTTCGGCTGGAGAGTAAGCATTGGGGCCGCTATGATTTAAGGAGTTGCGGCCCTCTCATGCTGAAATTAGGAACTGCCCACCGGGCAAATGTCCGGTATCACAGATTACCAGTCCGAGCCTGAATGAAGCACATATTTGCCTCCATAGGATGTTATTCGATGAAAAACAAACCCACTTGAGATCAAGTGGGTTTATTTTTCAAGAAAACCAGCTCTAAAAACATCTTGATAATTTAAAGTCCTTCTGCTGTTGAGATTATATCTATACCCAATAAATCTAAGACAGGTATGCATTATTCTAGCAACATTAGTTGCTTCTTTTCCATTTCCATTTTAGGCCATTATTAAGTGCAAATGCAGAGGTGCCACACATACGTGTGGCTCTAAAGCTGCTGGTTGCAGAATACTTTTGAAGTTATACTTTTTGTGTTTGAATGATGATGTGCTGGTAACATTTAAGAGCTTACATCATATGCAATCAAGTTTGACATTTTAACTGTTGCTTTATTCATGCATGCATCTCTGAGCTGCCTCCTCCCCTCCCAGAATAGTGCTGGTAGTTAGGAAGGAGGATGCTTCCTAGCACCAGTGCAGTTAGCATATTTCTATTTTGGAAGGATTTCTTGTTGCTCACACACAAATGAGTTGAATGTATGGATCGTGCGACTGGTACAGATTGGCTGCAGGACTTCTTGGACTTTGTTCAGTCTTTGTAAGAGAAGGCTAATTGCCAGAAGTAGGTTGATCCCACGCTGCAGCATCTCAGACTGAATGTCTCGACAAAGGCAGCTAAAACCTGGATGTAAGTCAGTATTTTCTCAGTTTCCTAACCCTTACATGTGTTCCATTCAGTCAAGACAATGACTGAGCGGCATTACAGATCGTGTCCTCAGAACAATGTTTTCATAGCAGAGCAGCTAAAGAATCATGAGCAAAAGCTATGGGCTGATATGTGGGGAAAAGCAGTTGCTCAGAGAAATGGGAGCAGAACTGATGTTATTTTATTACTATTTGAGCCCCATAGGGTGAAACAGAGGCAGACAGCTTTTATTCTTGAGAAATGTACATCTCCGTGTAAATTACTCTCACATTCCTCCTTACCTCTCCTTCTCCTAATGCTGGGGTTTCAGAAGTATTACTGTGTCTGCATTTAATCTATAAAGTGTTTCATTTATTGAACACAGTTACCGAAACATAAACTTTTTAGTTTTTCTTCTAATGTATTGAATGTGCCTAAAAATCCCTCCACAACACTTTGATAATTTACTAAGACTTTGGCCTTTTGGAGTCTTTTATATTGAGACCCATCTTTGGTTTCTATACGTATGGTTACTGATTTTCAGAAACTTTCTGTTGTTATCTTATTTGTCTTGTATTCACGCCATTAAACTTCTCCTTTTAGATATATTAGACATTGCAACTCCTGTGCCCTAAAAAGAAAAATGTGTCAATACAAAAAAATAAACACATATGCCATGCATATAAACATAACACCATTTAATTATTCCATTCCTGGACTGTTTAAACTTTAAATGCCTTATGCAATTGGCTTAAATTACAGTGAATATTTCTAAGAAGATCCCTGAAGTGCAAACCAGCTGCTTCTGCTGCTTCATTAGTGTGCAGTGTGAATGTAGCATTATCCTATTGGTTTAAATGATGATGAATCTTTCTAAGAATATTCGTTGTATAAACCTGATGAGCGATTAGTTACCTCCATTTGCCCAGAAAGTATGTTCATGGCTTTTGGACCTGCAGAGATGTAAGCCACAGCTTGGCCATTGTTGGTAATGTAGAGATCCTCAACTAGAACATTATCAAGAACTAATTTCTTAAAAAGACGGTCTGCATTATGGCGTGAGTAAGCAGCTCCCATCCCAAACATTCCTGTTTGTATCTTGGCAGATTTAGCCCCTGGAGAAAAAAAGGTTTCCCAGCATCAGAGGTACAGAATATAATTTCTCCTATTTTCTTAAAACACTGACTTTAATGGTAGGGCATAGATTTGTTTACCTATAAAAATGTCCACAAGCATGTTCAGGGTCAGTCGGCTCTGCTGAGGAGTCTTGCCAAACCTTGCTCCGACTTTCTCACAGTTCTCCTGGACAAACCTCACAATCTTCTTCACATCATCGGTCACCGTCCTCTGTTTGTATTGCTGCATTAAATAAAAATAACAAAAAACATCATTATATCTGTCTCTGGTCTTCAAACAAATCCTAACAGAGGAAAACGTTTCATACATTTGGTTTGGCACAGTTATCACAGCTGACATCCGGATGTTCTTTACAGAAGTTTCTGTTGAACTTCAGCTCTCCAAAGTACGCGAGCAGCTGGATTCTTCTGCACTCCATCACGTTTTCACAGAAGTGCACCATGCTGTGTAGATTGCTGAAATGAGTTGCCTTTGCATGTCTGTCACCTTCTCTGTCCACTGTGTTAAAGAAAGGATGTCTTTAGATGCTTGTTTTTTAATTTTAACACTTTGGGTTTGGAGTGTCTATTTTATAGCAAAGAGTACCAACAGTTTTGTGTTACATACTGCTGATGATCCTTTTGATGCGGTGGACGTCAGTGTAGGAATAAAACAGAATGCAGTGCGAGATCTCGCCATCTCTGCCGGCTCTTCCTGACTCCTGATAGTAACCCTCCATTGACTTAGGCAGACTGGCGTGGATCACGTAGCGCACATCAGGCTTATCTATTCCCATGCCGAAGGCTATGGTGGCACAGATCACCTGAAGGACACAAGAAAAAAGAAAAGTAGAGCATTTACTAAATGTTTAAGGGCTGATTGTGGGTCCTCATAAGTTGCGATCAGACCTGGCAGCCATCCTGATTGATCCATTTGCTCTGCACATATTCTCTGTCGCCATCACTGAGGCCAGCATGATATGACAGAGCCTGTATTCCTGCTCTCTTCAAACTGTCTGCCAGGGCATCGCAGTCATTACGGGACAGGCAGTAGATAATGCCAGAGTCACCTGTCAGGATCAGAGACACAAAAACCACTTAAAGATGCTGAAGTGTTGCTATTATTTGAGTGAAACTGTACCATCAATGTGAAAAATGAATTGAGAAATTAGCGGGTTCTACATAGATATAAAAAAAAAAAAAATCCAGACTTTGCAGCCAGACAACTATTTCTCCCCCTCAGCAGACTCTTATAGCTGCCCTCAGGTCTTCACATCCAGTTGAATTTTTAACCTTGCAGCCACAACAGTTTTACAAAAATAGCACCAGGATCGGAGTGGCTGAATTATTTACGTGGGTAGTGCTTCTTGATCCAGCTGATGCAGTCCTCATCAACTTTTTTGGGTTTCTTGGGCAACACGGAGTACTTGAGGTTTGTTCTGTTGAAGCTCATGGTAAATCTGAAAAGCAGAAAACATGTAGTTACTGCTGGCTATTCTGAACTGCGGCCATGAATAAATTATGTAATCTGGAAATGAACACGTACACTTGAGGTCGACTCATGTTTAGCTGGTTGAGAATGTCTTTTTGGACACGGGGGGTGGCGGTGGCTGTTAGAGCCATCATCGGTATTTTGGGGAACTTCTGACGTAGTTCGTGCAACTTCTTGTAGTCTGGGCGAAAATCATGGCCCCACTAAAAATAAAAAATAAAATGTAGGGACTTATTCAAAACAAAAAAAAATAATAATAATAAAAAAAAAAAAAATATATATATATATATATATATATATATATATATATATATATATATATATATAGTAGCACAGCTTTTAATTTTTTCCCTCTGAGTGTATTCATTTTTAAATCTAAAGTTCAGCAACCCACCTGACTGACACAATGTGCCTCATCAATCACAAAGCGGGCTAAAAGGCTTCGCTCATACAGGTTTTGCAGAGCTGAGATCAACCTGTTGCTTGCACTAACCTTGAAGAAAATACAATAAACATTAAATGTTAACGTATTAAGAAAAGACACTAGCTTAATGTTGTAAATAAAAATATAAAAAATTTAATAAATCACCTTTTCTGGCGTTACATACAGCAGCTTAATGATCGGGTCTTTCCTGGAGAGCTGCATATAAATCTTTCCCGCTTCACTGTCACTTTTATCACCAGATAAACTTGTTGCTGGAATCTGAAAAATAGGAAAATAACACGCAAATTTAAATGGTTTGTGACAGCTTAAGTGTTCCCATCAAATGTATTATGTTTAAGAGAACTTAACATCATACAAATTCTTATTTGGACTTCCGTCCAATTAAAAATGAACCTAATGTTTTATTAGGGATCAAGAAGGAGAGTTTGTTTTTGTTTTGTTTTTTATTAAAAGAGAATAACTCTCTTGTTTGGTTAATATTAAAAGCTTCCAAGGTTTCACACACTCATCAATGTCATTCCTTTACTCTAAAACAGTTCCCAACAACCAGCATACTTACATCTAACGTGGTGAGCTTCTGGATCTGGTCAACAATAAGAGATTTAAGCGGAGAAATGACAACAGTGACTCCAGGTGAGACACATGCAGGCAATTGGTAGCACAAACTTTTACCCCCACCTAAAAAAATAAATAAAATATATTTGAAAATACACATCAGTTTGATGAAAAAGATAAGTTTTTCTACAGCTGTTGTCTTAAATGGCTTGTAAAGGGGTTGAAACATAAAAATCTTCTGGAACACGCTGCTGAAAAATGGAGTACATTGCAATGTAGTGCAATTTTTGATGACGTGCAGATTTTTGCAAAAGGTTACAAACAGTTTTCTTTTAAAATACTAACTATAGCTGTAGCATTTGCCAATAGAGGATTGATATTATAACATTTTGACAGAACAATCAGCTGGTTTTACCTTCAATGTAACAGAAACCTTCTTAAACTAACCTGTTGGCATTAAAACAAATGTGTCTTCTCCTTGAAGAGTAGCATTGATTGCTTCCAGCTGATTAAACCTGAACTGATGGAGTCCAAATCGTTTATGGAAGATCTTCATCATCTCCTGTGAATAGGGGAAGTTAAAGCCTCGAAAGCGATCATGAGCTGGGTTTTTAAAGTTGGGCTCTGAAAAATGTGACAAAAAAAAAAGAAAGAATCTGTGAAAATGCATTAAAATGAATATTATTAACCATGAAACAAGAAAATGTACCATGCACTCTTCTAAAATTTTGCATTAATATTGGAAGAGGGCAATAAGTGAAACCGTTTAGAGGCTAAATAAAATGTTCCTGTTAATAGTGAAATGCATCCTAATTTAGTCTAATTTACTGCCATCTAGTGAGCAAATGTAAAACTGCATAGATCTAAACATTTTAGGAAATAAATGTGTTTGTTTTTTCCATGTTTTTAGAAGTAAATATTCCCATATTTTGGTTCTATGTCGACTTGCCTGGTGAATAAATCTTCTGAGGCTTTGAAGCAGCAACAGGAGAAACTGGTTTCTTGTTCCAAGACGACTTGTTTGCTCCCTCTTCTTTCACAGCAGCAGATGGAGTGCTTAGATTTTTAGTTACATTCTTAGTTTGAGGTTCATCAAAGTAATCAGGGATGTCAGAATCATTAAAGTCATCTATATCAAAATCGTCCATGTAAAAGCCATCTTCCTCAAAGTCTGTCGCGGCTGTGTGTGATGGGGTTTTGGATTTTTCTTGCACATAATCTAACGTGGTTGGGAATGAAAGATTTGCATCATTAGCGTCAGAGCTTGATTTCTCTATATTAACTGGTGGTTTTGTGAAGCTGTTTGCTGATGGAGAGTTGCAAACACTGTCATCTTCAACATATATTTTCCTGCTATCTCGCCTTTGCCATGGTTTTAAACTGGAATCATCAAAGCAGTCAGAGTCATGGTCAATAGAGATGACTGAAGATCTTTGAGGCTGTTTGGACCTTTTAGTGTCTAAAGGCAGGGAAGTGCTGGGGGACATTGTAGTGGAAGAACCACAGATGGAAAAGGTTTCTTTGAAAGAACCAGAAATCCCTGTACTGTCTGGCTGCTGTGTCCTCCTGCTCAAAGAATCAGTCCCACAAGCTAAAATCCTCTTCCTGCAAGAGAAAATCAGTGATTGTGATGATGTTTGTATATCATCAAATGAGACAATAGCGCTTCTGCTGCTGACTGACATGAACCTACCTTTGGGCCCTCTTTAGCAAAAGTTCATCCCCACAGGACAAAGCGATTAGTTCATGCTCAGGGATGGAATCAACCAGAGCACAGATGGACTCCATAATACTAAAGAGTTGTTCCTCTGCAACAATTACAAAAGGTGAGAATTATACATACCAGAAGAAAATTCTCAAGAGGAAAAACTGGTTAAAAAAAATATGTACTTGTTTTGTCACCAGCGAGTTGTTGCGGTTTAGGTGGAGCTGTGGGAGGGCTGATGGGTTGGGAAGCATCATCTCTGCTCTGAACATTGCCTGATTGAGTTCTTTCATAAAGAAGAGGAAAACATTCAATTAGACTAGATAAAACCAAATTTAAGATGAATCTAAAGTCATTCTCAATAGAACACACTTTCTCCAACATTCTTCATAAGAAAATATTAAAGGCTTTTTAGAAAAAGCCCCTTTCCACTTGAAAGTGTGTTGAGTGTTTATGCAGAATTAGAAGCCAACAGAATTTACAAGATTTTACACATAGGGCTGGATATTTAAAGGATCAAAATTGCTTATGCAAAACGCATATTGTGCAAAAAATAAGTGGATGTGATGGGGTGAGCTACAAAAACTGCACATGCAGCTGATAGGATGTGCAAACCAATCCATTCTGCCCAATTTAAGTGAATAAATTACATTTGAAGCAGTCAGTTTGGGGGAATGAAGATGGAGGTAATAATAACACAATTAAAATAATGGAAAAAATGTATATTATGCTGCAAACACAGCAAAAAAAAAAAGGTTTAAGATAAATCATAAAACCTGCCAGACCCATCTTTGCAGACAGCGCAAATGTTTACACACACAGACAAGTACTCAATTGTCATTGTACTAATGCCCATTTTGTAGCCTCAAAGGTTTATAACGACTTCAAAACATGCTATAGATCTCTAGCATGTTGTAAAGTTGTTATAAACCATTGTTGGCTTAAAATATTTTCTTTGCATGTTTTCAATCCATAGATTTTTGTACAGTTCGGTCATTACAGCCGCTGATTTTGAACACCTATGGAGTCAACTTTGTTTTGTTGACTACATGTGTTTTAATACACACAAACTTTGAAGATAAGAGGTAACATCTTGCTTAAATAAAATCCAACAGATGATGAGTGAATGAGTGGTCCAGTTTGAAATTTCTTCAAATGTATCATTTTGATCATCAAACAAACCCCGTTTCCTATACTTATGAACAGACAGGTGCAAGAAAACAAAGAGAAGAATGGAAAAACAAATAATTTTCTATAATTTTTTCCAAGCTTGAAAAAGATTTTAAATCAAACTTGATGGTAGGGAAGGGTTTTGGAAGACACAAAGGTTGGCACTAATGCGTGATATTTGCTTACCTTGTTCCAAAATTTGTATAAGAAGTCTGAGAAGGAGGTGAAGGGGGAATGTAATCAAGATCTTCCTCAGGTTTGAAGGTGTGATCCAGGTCCGGTTCTTTTTTATCAATCCATTTTTCCTTTTCATCTAAGAGGATCCAAATATTTCATTATTACCCTCATTGTTTTAGGACACTTATTAGATCTGTATCTACTTTAAATAATCAAATTGAACAAAGCAAACAAGCCTTTACCTGTTTTTTCTTTCAAAGCTTTAGAGACGTGACCGATTTCCTCATCACTATCACTCAACACTGAAGTCACAAGTGGAGGAAGACAACGCCTTCTAGTCCTTTTTACAGGAGTATCCTCCACTTCATAGTCTGAAAGTTCATGACCTAAACTAGGTTCTACTGAAATAGTTGATTTATTGACACGAGATTCTTGCTCTTCTGTCTCCATAGAAGACTGGTCATTGTTCTTCTTGCTCAATTCTGGTTTTAAGCTACCAGCATCATGGCTTTGTTTTCCTGTGAACTCTGGGAACTCTTCATCTGAAGATAAAGTTATTTTTGTTTCAACAGCTGATTTCTCTGAGCAGAATGAGTCGCTTTTGGCTTTGGCGGGTGTTTCAAAGTCATCAAAATCATCCCAGTCATCAATCTTCAAACTAGATACATCCAGTCTAGTTGAGCTGATTCCTTTACCATCACAGAGGGAGTTGTCAGGTTTAACAGGAGCTACAGGCATCTTAATGCTAGCATCTGCTAAGGGTGTTTCACTTTTTGTAATGGAGCAACCTGCTGGACTGATGACATCTGACTTGCATTTTGAACTTGAAGAGAAGAAGCTGTCGATTTTGTTTTTTTGATTTCCTTCAAGCTTGTTTGAAAATTTTAAAGAAGATTTAGTCACCAAATTGTTCTTAGGGACATTCACGTTCCTGTTTGCCAAAGCATTTAGACTGTTTACCTTGGTCGGGAATTCCACTTTAGTTGTACCTGATGAAGATTTCTTTTTGAACGAGAAAGCCCTGAAAAATACAGACAACATTCAGTAAAAAAGCTGTTCTTATGATACAATTGTTACTCAAGGAAAAACGCTTTCAAAACAACATCTTTAAAGATAATTAGCTTATTTTTTCATTTTCCCCTCAGTCTATTTTTTCCCACTCCAACAACACTGATAGTAATTGACAATTACTATCAGCAACTCTGCAGCAACCAATGTTTTTTTTTTTTATATTGCTCCAGTCACTTAATGATTACACAACTAGCTATGATGTCTCCTAAAAAAAATGTTATGCAATGTCGGCTTCAGTTCTGAGACTATGATGAGAGTGTAAACATACCTAAAGTTGTGGCTGCGGGATATAACAAACAGATATGCAATGACAACATTATTTAAAAGCATACCATAAATATTGTAATACTATGAGTAAATGCAAATTTTTCCCACTGTAGTAATTCTCATGTCATGTGTGCTTTTGGTAAAAGAGGCAAACTCATCTGTGTAAAATATCGGCATCTAACGTAGAGATTAACCGGTAGAGGTTTGTTTAGACCGTCAGTCTAATTGATCCCTGATATGTTCTGCTGATGTTTTTGGGCTGATTCTTGGAGTTGGTATTGCTATTTCCTCCTCCGCTTACATGATAAAAAAATTACACATGATTTAAACAAAACTGAAACATCTATAAAAACAAAAATGATGATGAACCTGCCAGCTCATACTTTTTTTTTTTCCCAAGGCTGCACTTTTAAAAGATGAAATTGTCCAGTGAGCTGTTTCCAAACAAAACTTCTTTTTGTTTTACTATTGTGTAAACAAAATGACAAATAAAATCTGTCTATACACGTATCGGCCAATTCCAATACAAGAACAAGCCAATATCAGCCAAAAATATCAGCTGACTGATCGGTCTCTAATCTAATTCAGTGAAAGCCAATAAAAAAGCAAAAATATCTGTTGCATTTCAAATCATCCTTTGTGAAGTTGGTGACTTAACCATTAAGAAAATAAAACAAGAACATCATTTGAGGGATAAGTACAGAACATTTATCAACAGATAAACTCTAAGCCATAAATTGTATTAGATTTACAAATATATATTTTATTTATGATGCTAAGTAACTGCCATGCAGTTTATACAAGCTTTCCTGTTTCAGCAAACCATGACACACTACCAGGACTTTGCCAAACTTGATGGCATGCCGAGGAGGCAATAAATCATCTAATTAAGCTGTGTTGGATCAGGGATGCATCTAAAAGCTGTGGTGCATTAGATCTAGAAGACTGGAGTTTGAGACACCAGGTTTACATTAAAAGAAATACATATGTCTTAGAATAGACTTACAATATCATATATTGTAAAATAAAACAGTACAGGTAAGCAAATCACCACCTTACAACAGGGTCAAGTTTCCTTTATTAACTGTTAATAATTCAAACATTACATTATGGATTTGCATGTTTTGTGTGATTAAAATGATGATTTTAAACTCAAAGAGGCTAGATAATGTGAATTGACTGCATTCATATAATTGGTCGGTGCTTATAGCTTCATCGGTAGAAGTGAAAAAAAAACTAAAATTTGGTAACTTTTCTGTTAAAATTATTTTCAAAACTATAACTACTTAAAAAAAATATCTGGGGCCAATGTGTAAGACGGATAAGAAACTGTTAAAATAAAAAAAAAATAAAGCTAAGTATTATGATACTAGCTAGCTCTGATGAGAGCCTAAAACTTTTGCCGTTATTCGCTATCTGCTGTAAAATAACAACACTTACCCTGTTTTGGGTTTAGCCAGGGAGAGTTTGCTGTGAGCAGCATTGCTGTGTCTTGCCAGTTGTTCCTTCAGATTATTTTGAGGCAGACTAGACATTATGAGTGAGAAACTGAGCTAGGTATTGCTAGCTAAAGGGCTACAGGAGTTAGCTCATGAAACAGTTCCCTAAACATGGCTCGAGACACCGGACTGGAGCACGTGCGTTTGGTCTACCCATCCGCGGTCGCTTCGACAATTTTAACGTTCATTAGGCTGATTTTTAAGATTCCAATATAGGACAAGGAAGAAAACAAACACTGGATTTTGCGCCCAATCACTAAAACGAAACCCTATTGGCTCGCGGATAGCGCGAAAGAGCATTCTGGGAGAAGTAGTCTTTGTATATGCCAAGAGGTGGCCAGTTTTAACCCAGTACCAGTGATGCCTGAACTAAAATTAGATTGAATTTAGGTAAACATTTACTTACAGTGTGTCACAAAAGTGAAACTAAAAAGTTTAAAGTTTCTTAATGTAGAATTGGAGGCATATATTTTTTATTATTATTATTCAGGCTCCTCTTGTGTTGAACAAACTCCCAGTTTTAATTTGTGAGGCAGACACTCTGTTTTTTTAAGATTAGGCTTAAAACTTTACCTTTTGATAAAGCTTATAGTTAGAGTGTCTCCAGTTATCCTGAGCTATCTCTAGCCCATATTTATGCTGCTATAGGCTTAGGCTACAGGAGGAAATGGGGACCACTTTTCATAACTCTGCTTCATTCAACATATTCTCCAGTTTTGCATTATTTGTTTGCTCAATTTCCAACCTTATGTTCTCTCTGCTTTTCCTCTTCATAGTAGGTACACCTGGTCTGGGGCTTTGTTTAGCTGTAAAACCATCAAGCCAACAACTTCCATCATAGAAGATAGAGTTTGTCCCGTTTCTCAGTGTTGAGCCCAGTTTCTCTCCTAGACAAAGCTACAGGATCTGCTTTAACTAAGACCAACTGCTATCTTCCATCCATTTTCTAATAAAAACCATCCCGGAGCTCATCTGCTGAAACAGTTTCTGCCCTATAGACTGAGCCACCTATGGAGCTAGTTGACCGTGATGTTTTCTAACTTAGAAAGTATTTATGGATCTGTGCTTCTGTGTTCCTCTTGTACAGTATGCTTTTGTCTCATTGAACCAACAGGCGGCTTTTGCAACAGGTTGCATACACCAACCTGGTTATGCTGGAGTTTTTTCTCCCTACTGTCGTTGCAAAAACAGCACCATATAAAATATGCATAGACAAAATAAACACAATTATAGCAGCCCTTGATAAAATGAGTCTATGGTTATAAGTTAACAAAGCTGTGACTATTAATTGCTATCCTCGTGTGAGTCACATTTAACATGTAAGGACATTTTCTTGTTTTTTTATTTCTTCATCTTTACATTTTCAGTAGTTAAAGAAAAAATGACAAAAAATATTTAGTTCCAATTGGTTTTTCTCTGTCTGCAATTATGGAGAGGTTCCAAGTTTGTCTGTTATTTGCCATTTAGCCTATCTAAATTCACATGGTGATTGGCCTTGGAGGAATGTTTGTCCCTTTTGCCGCCTGGAAGCTTTGGAGATGTTTGGTTACCTGCAAGAACATGTAAATTGGTTTGAAACTACCTAGAAAAAGGCTCAATACTGAAATGTGTGTTTTTAGAAAGCTGAAATCTTATTAGAATTATCTTGCCAATTGATGTAAATTTCTCCCTATCCTTCTCTGTCAAACTATATATTTTCTCAGTCTAAAATTATGAACATTCTTTTTTCTGAAACATTACCAAAACATTGTCCTGTTTTCTTAAGGTTTGGGTGAAAAGCTGGGTCTTGTCCTGAGGAGCTTTGTCCTTTTTTTTGTGAAGAGGTTGTTTAGTTTCTCTAACACAGAAGTATATGATGACCTTGCTAGACTTAACTACGTACACCATGCTGCTTGGTGTTTGGGGGCTGAATATCTTCTCCTGCATTGGACAAAGCCCTTCAACACATCACTGAAACAAGTTTAAGTAAACATTGTAGGGTACCAGGATGTTTTCAAAACAGCTAAGCAGATTCCGGGCCTCCCATGAGTAGCGTGCCAAATGTTTCCTGCCATGCAAATAGTTTATGAACAACGATCACCACAGCTGCTGGATAGATCAGTTTTTTTGTCCCCATGCATTATGCTTTGAAAGTCTGGGAGCAGTGCACTGACAGTTTTGGGGGGAAATGTGCTCAGGTTGGAAAAAGGGCACTTTATAGAGCCGCAAACAGCCAAACATCGCCTGATGCCGACCTTTAATCTTCAGCAGTCCATAGGTAGCAATGCAACATTGGTGTCAATTAAATAAATAACAATTTCAAATCCACTAATATATAAGCAAACCTGAAAAACAATAGACTAGATCATTTTTTTTCTTTTCTTTTTTGAAATATCTTTCATATATGTGGAAAAAAGAACACAATTGAAGGGAAAAATGCAGTTGCTTCTGGAGAAGCAGCATTTAGTTCCTATCCTCCACTTATCTGGAACAAACTTCCAGAAAACTGTAAAAGTGCTACATGTAAAAAAAAAAATTAAACTCCTATATTGTCCCACATTGGGAAAATTCACTCCCTGCATTTTAACCCAGCCCCTTGAGGAGCAGTGGGCTGCCATTGTGTGGCACCTGGGGAGCGGTGTGGGGTTGGGTTTTGCTGAGGAACCCAGAATGGAGGCTGTGGGGATCAAACCTGACACTTGCAACCTTCTTAGAGAAAAAGCACACTGCTCCAACCACTAGGTCAATACTCCCACAGGTCCTCTAGAGCGAAATTATTAAATCTAGGCTCTTGATTTGATAGGATTTTACATTTGTAAAAATACTATTTTGGGCCAAAAACTATATAAAAAACGTAAATAATAAATTTGGCATTTTCTTCCAGAGGGGAAAAGGGCAGTTGCTCTAGCACCACCGTGTCTTTCTTTACACATCCCTGATTGGAAGGATGGCTTTTGACATTTTTATTTTATCCAATTTTGCCATTCATCAGCTAGTGTATAAAACATGTAGGCTATGCAATATATGACCATGATACACTTTTAAAAAAATTTAAGCTACGCTTCATGAAGAAGGTGTCCTTGTGCTGACCTTCAATTCTTAATGACAAGTCTGGTGGTGTAACTCAAATCAGTAAAGGTACAGTATTTAAATTCAACATTATGTCTTAGATGGCTTAGAATCTTTCCCAGCTTATTATGATGACAATTCATACTATGCCAAACTGTATGGTCCCTAATACAATTCTGTTATTTTCTTATTGTGTATCAATGGCACGATTATTTTTACATGATTCCAGGATGGTTTGAACACTAATAAATTAAAGTATCTCAAAAACATTTTGTAGATACAGATTATGTTTGTCTGATGTCAAAATGTATATAATGATCTAAAACAACAAAACAATTAAGTTATAAAATACTCATAGCAGACAGCTTTATTTGTACTTTTTCTGATGGATCTCTACATACTGATAAAAGATAAGTTATCTTTTCAAGCAATGTCTCAAAACCAGTAGAATCTTGACTTAATCAACTGACGGTATATCTGATTTCCTTTTTATTTTTATTTTTTTATAACATGTCTACTCAGTTCACCAAGGGTCTGGAGTGAAGTCCAAGCACCCTAATACTCTGAACACATTTTTTCTAAAAGACATAAGGTGATTCATTCCAGCAGATAGAAAGGTAATTCATAAACTAACATAACAACTGTTCATATTTTTGGTCGCTGGTCTTACAGAGACAGTGGTCCATACATAAATACTGAACAGCGGTGGCTCCTCACATGTGACAATACTAAACCCGTTCAGCTGCCGCCATCATATCTGGGTAGGCTACAGACGTCTGCAATAAACCAATGCAAGAAATACAAGCAAATTTTAAAAAATTTTATTTTGAAGTTTTATCTCAAAGATTTAACAGTAAATTGATCATCTCAGTTATCATTTGTAAACAAATCTGAATTTAATTCAATCTACCATATAAAAGTGTTTTATCAGTAGTTAAAACTCCTCAAACAATAAACTAGAATCCAGTTTATCGTAGTTACAAGATAAAAATTCAGAATCATAAAAATGCACTATATATGATTAAGAAAAATCAATTATGCCTCACTTTGATTATTTTTAGTATTTTTTGAGACATATCATTGGAGAAAAATTAAACCACTGGAAAGGATGAGCAGGCGGCGAGTCCACACATGTTCTTTCCCCTCTCAATAAGGAAATACCTGTGATGCAAAAACATTTTGATGAGCCGTTTTATGTTTCCTAGTATGTAGATTTATTTGGATTGTGTAAAAGTAAATAACGTTTACCCGTTTATGCCCCAGGTAGGGCCCCATGAGTTCTTTACTATCCAATAGGGTGTACCGTTCTCTTGTCCATAGCCAACAGCTAGCACGGCATGATTCACTTTGTCTGTGGTGTTGTGGCATTTAGTGCTGAAAGCAGGAAGAGACCAAAAGTGACATGTGACTTTAACCTGGGCTGTTTTTTTTTTTTTTATAGCAAATGAGGAACTAAAACTAAAACTAAAACAAACCTCTTTGCATAAAAACCCCCATGTTTCAGTATTTAAACATTACAGGAGCACTAAGCAGTAACAATAGTTTAAAATCAAATAGAAAATTATATGAAATGTAGATTCAAACAGCAGAAAATGGGATTTTGTGATATAAAACAAGACATCTTCCTCCACCCCTATACACATCAGCCAAATATTTACCCTACACAATGAATCTAATATAAATTTTAGCCATTTAATGTGCAGATTTGCTCTCACCTGGTGTACACACCCTCATGGTAATGCATGAAGTCGTCAGTGACCTCAAAGGCAAAACTAACAGGATTGTGAGTGGCGACAGCATCAACCATTCCCATCTCGTCGTACTGAGAAACAGCAGCACAGCTTTATTCTTCACGCACTTTCATCCACTCTTCTATGTCCATGAATGATGACGATCACTCACCGCTGTTATGTTCCTCACTTCCTTCACAAAAGCAGCAGCCAGGGTGGGTTTATATGAACATATACCCTCCTGAAATAACACAAAGAAATCGTTACCATAAGCCATTATGAGCATCTTTGGTGGTTAGTTTTTAAACTGGCTAAAAAAAATACCACAGAAGTGTATGGGTAGTCCTCCTCTGTCATCAGTCCTTTGTTATACATGATATACTCAAATGCTTGACTGGGAAGACCCCTAAATGAAAGATAAAGGCCTGGATTAGAAACAGATGAATGATACAGTGTTAACAGTAAAAGTGGATGGACACATTTTCAGCACGCACCCATTACAGCCATGGTTATT